TTGCACGTAAAATATTTAACGTGTGTTTTCTGTTCACTACATAATCATATTATCACATTCCTGCAAAAGAGTTGCCTTGTTGAATCAGGTCACAACGGTGCCCTTTCTGCTTCTTTGCCTGCATTGCTCCACTGTAGAATTCCCTCCCATTGTCTCTATTTCCCAAGCTCATACGAGTGTAGTGAGCGACCTCCGAGAAACGTCGAGTAGAAGGCTTCTTATTTATTAAGAGCACACTGGGCGATACATTATGTAACGCAGCGACACATAGGCGATCCTAACACATAGCCCCATCTCCGGCTTCGTTACGCTAGCTGTCCGACTAGCGCAGCGACGTCGACGGAGACGGTTTTGCTGAAGATAGCCACATGGCCGGGGACGAAGAGATGACGAAAGCAGCGACGCAGACAGGACCCAGGACCCGATCGAAACGTGTTGCGATCGAAACGTCATAGTTTTTTGTTATTTTCTTTGAACCTATCTACGTGACTTTACCGAAAGACCCAAGAATATGTTTAGTAGACTTTTAAAGTTCCACGTCTTATACTGTAATGGAATAAATAGATTTTCACACTCACAAATTTCTAATACATCTCGATGAATGTCTGGTTGTCTTTACCTGATAGCCAAACCGAATGTTCACCTAATGTTGCTTTTACAGCGTCCATATTGAATGCTCACGTAAAATAAACGCACAAGTGTGACGATTAATGCAGTGGCTTTAAGCAGGCAGCAGCTCCGACTCCTGTCGACTGCAGTTATATCTGATGCACACACGCACACGCAGAGTGGTCCCAACACCACACACATACAACTCTGGTAGGACTGTGTGCACGTGCAGGCCTGTAACCTTAAGGCTCAATTCACTCGAAAGTGCATATGTTTTTAAATATTAATTGATTACGCATTGCCTCCCATGTAAAATTCATGTAGTCTGATCTCTTGCGATATATTGCAGCTAGTGGTCATATTACTTGAGGTGGAAACATTTTGGAAACTTATTGCGCAGCGCCCATGTTGCACGTTCTTTTTTAGTTTAATAATTCATAATTATATATTTGGACAGTTTGGACTGGAAGGTTTTTTTCCCTAACCATATAAACCATACTTTAATATACAGGCACGGTTCAATGACTATTGGTCGCTCAAACTCTGCAAACATGCACAACATAGAGAAGCAACTCGAAATGACATCTTTCAACATATTTCCCTCCCATTAAATGAACATTCACCCGACTGAAGTGCACTGACCTAACCAACTCTAATCGTATCACCTAACCCTTTCCTGCTTTAAACTTTGGAAAAAGATAACAAGGAAAACATATAATTGCCCACACACTACTCCACCAGTTTCAGAGGGTAGGGGGAGGAAATGGTGGGGAGGAAATGGTGGAAAGGACACAGTGAGAGGGTCTAAGCCCCCAGAGCCTCACTGCTGGTTGAGCGCTGCGGTGGTGAGATGTTAACTCCCTCGCCTGTCTTGGGTTCGAACCCGACCCTGGCACCTATTTTTTGGGAGTTTGCATATTCTCCCCGTGGTCGCATGGATTTCTCTTCGAGTCCTACGATTTACTCCACCACATTTAGAATCGTGCGAGTAATTGGCTGCTATAAATTTCCACATAAGCCACTTCATTGGGCGATCATTTGTGACCAGGTTGCTTCTGAAAAAGAGCTATAAAGTTCAGTGTGCCTTACCTGGCAAAATAAAAAAAATAGTTTATAGTTTACCGGTCCTCGGCCCTTTCTAGGACCAGGGCCGGCAGAGGCTGTTGGTTGCAGGGTTGAGTTGAGGCATCAACGCCACCAAGGTGCCTCTCGAGGGGTCCACTTCGATGGAAAGCCTCGCTTTATATCGATTGTTGGTGGCTTGTTCTCACGCGTGAGGTGATGCATCCATACAGTATCTCATGTCGGTTATATTCACAGTGTTCCAAGAGATTGAAGCAGTGCTTTTCTATAACCCAGTGGTGAGAATTCCACCTTTCTATTCTGTCTTATCAGCAGAGGGTGCTAATGGGATGAAGGCTGATATTATAGAAGCATCTATGAACCATGTGTAACAGGTATTATTGCCCACAATTTGCTGAGGTGCCATGTAATAATTTAACATTGGCATTTGGTATAATTTTTAAACAAACCATTAGATGATAGGCTGACTTCGTTGGTATTGGTGCCCATGCAACAAATAATTCGGAAGGCCTACCTCTATGGCCTCTATGTGTGCTATGAAGAAACGCCATTTCCCAAAACTTTTCCGCTTACTTTTCCTTTCAGGGCCAGAGTGTCATCGATGAAAGTATTTCGTGTTGCATTTCTAAGTGAAACATAAAACAGCGACTACAATTGGTGACTGTTAAGCAGATGTGCCTACCGAGGCTTATCCACCGCGTGGACGTGTGTGGGAGTGAGTGGCATGAGAATCCTCCCATGCTTCAACGGGGGCCCATTGTGTCCTCCGCTTGTTCCCTGCCGTCATCTTTCAGAGATCATGGGGTCCGATGAGATCTCTCCACCTCGTTCCCTTCCGCCTTGCACTGGCTTCATGGCTGCTGCCTTCGCTCATCACCCTCTTTGCTCGATGGCTTTCCTTAATCGTGTTGATCCAGCCAATATTTGCTGTCCCTCTCCTTCTTTACCCGTGTGCTTGTGCAACGCCATGCATGCCATTCTTTTGGGTTTCATGAAGCCCCACTGCCCTCACTCCCAGAGCACCACAGATTTAAGCCGTCGTATTGTGCGCTACAAGCAGACCCGACCACTACAAATTTTAGCTGCCTATATTGTATAACAGAAATGTACATTGTTTAATGGTAATTAACCTTTCAAATTGCCTGTGGCAGTGGGTTGCATGAGACATTATTATTAGTGTTCTCTGCACTACTTTACATGATGAGGGAAAATTCCACTTAGCTTGTTAAGTGCAACTGCAAATGGTTTTCGAGACTGCAAACCGTGTGTTTCTTATTTTAATTGCATAGTTATTGTGTATAGGAGTGATTTGAAATGTATTTAAGGACAAGCCTTTGCCCTTCCAAGGACGGGTGTATTTCAGTAAATCTTAAACTTGCAAGCGAAGAGCAGAGCGCAACGTGATATTCATTGCATCACTTCGTGTGCAATTTGTAAGGCTGCGGTGACACAGACTTATTCATTTAAAGGTTATAATCCCTTGTTCATCATGACGTCCTTTTACTTCTATGTCTCAATAGTGTTACGGAGATCGTGCGACGTGAGGGTTCTGCCTTTGTAGTGAGGGTTGTAAGTTGATGCTGAGGAGGGGGGAGGAGGGAGGCGCCTCGCCCCCCCCCATGTGGAGTGACATCACCCGCTAATTAATATTACATTATTAATGAGGGGGGGGGGGGTGCTACATGTGCAGTGACGTCACCCGCTCATGATTATTAATGAGGGGGGGGGATCCATGTGGAGGACGTCACCTGTTCATGAGTATTAATGAGGGGGGCTGGCCGACGTGAGTGACGTCATGCGCGGGATACACAGACATTCTTGGCTCATTATAGTCGTAAATATTCAAAAAAGTTTTACAAAATAAAAACCTGGCATGAATTAAATTACCCACAAGACGTTTGCGTGACACCGTGGTAAGGTCACACACCGGAAGTGGTCCGTGACACCGTGGTGAGGTCACACACAGAACGTGGTGTGTGACACTCTGGTGAGGTCACACACAGACCGTGGTGTGTGACATCGTGGTGAGGTCACACACCGGAAGTGGTGCATGACATCGTGGTGAGGTCACACACAGACCGTGGTGTGTGACACTCTGGTGAGGTCACACACAGAACGTGGTGTGTGACACTCTGGTGAGGTCACACACAGAACGTGGTGTGTGACACTCTGGTGAGGTCACACACAGAACGTGGTGTGTGACATCGTGGTGAGGTCACACACCGGAAGTGGTGCATGACATCGTGGTGAGGTCACACACAGACCGTGGTGTGTGACACTCTGGTGAGGTCACACACAGAACGTGGTGTGTGACACTCTGGTGAGGTCACACACAGAACGTGGTGTGTGACATCGTGGTGAGGTCACACACCGGAAGTGGTGCATGACATCGTGGTGAGGTCACACACAGACCGTGGTGTGTGACACTCTGGTGAGGTCACACACAGAACGTGGTGTGTGACACTCTGGTGAGGTCACACACAGAACGTGGTGTGTGACACTCTGGTGAGGTCACACACAGAACGTGGTGTGTGACACTCTGGTGAGGTCACACACAGAACGTGGTGTGTGACATCGTGGTGAGGTCACACACCGGAAGTGGTGCATGACATCGTGGTGAGGTCACACACAGACCGTGGTGTGTGACACTCTGGTGAGGTCACACACAGAACGTGGTGTGTGACACTCTGGTGAGGTCACACACAGAACGTGGTGTGTGACACTCTGGTGAGGTCACACACAGAACGTGGTGTGTGACACTCTGGTGAGGTCACACACAGAACGTGGTGTGTGACACTCTGGTGAGGTCACACACAGAACGTGGTGTGTGACACTCTGGTGAGGTCACACACGGAACGTGGTGTGTGACACTCTGGTGAGGTCACACACAGAACGTGGTGTGTGACACTCTGGTGAGGTCACACACAGAACGTGGTGTGTGACACTGGTGAGGTCACACACGGAACGTGGTGTGTGACACTCTGGTGAGGTCACACACAGAACGTGGTGTGTGACACTCTGGTGAGGTCACACACAGAACGTGGTGTGTGACACTGGTGAGGTCACACACAGAACGTGGTGTGTGACACTCTGGTGAGGTCACACAGAACGTGGTGCGTGACATCGTGGTGAGGTCACACACAGACCGTGGTGTGTGACACTCTGGTGAGGTCACACACAGAACGTGGTGTGTGACACTCTGGTGAGGTCACACAGAACGTGGTGTGTGACACTCTGGTGAGGTCACACACAAGACGTGGTTTGTGACACCGTGGTGAGGAAACTCACCCGCCTTTGCCTTTTCCTAGGTGCGGCCGTGAACCTCACCCTGGTGACGCCGGAGAAGGCCATCAAGCTCGCCGCCAATGACTTCTTCAGGAACATGCTCAGCAAAGACGGGTGGGTGAGACACTGCCCTCTGGCCTCCCGCCCGGGATGCGGCTCGGCCCGAAGCACGTGCACTCGCCGGCTCGCCCCTCAAATGAAAGTAAACGGTGGCCTCGACTAAACGGAGCTCTACAGTCAAGTGTGGCGTTCTCTCTCACACAGTCTTGCACTGTGCTCACGGGATTTTGTCAGGAAACGTGCACAGCTGCACATTTCATAACATACCACCCTGACCCTCAATCCAGTAACTTCGTCTAAATTGGCCCCGTTGTAGAAAGGGCCTCCAATGAACGCTTCTGCTTAAAGGCTATACCACTGAATGTAAATTTGTATTTTAAGTACTATACCTTATGGGGCCTCATATCCCAGTTCGAGGTTTACTCAGCTAATATTATCTTTGGTGAATAAAACTAGTACAGCTTTGTAGGAATTTAACAGTAAAGCAATCCATTAGAGTAATTTGGATTGTTTACTGGTGGCTTAGGGCTATGTTTGAGTGCCAGAGGATGAAAACGATACCACAGAATGAACTCTGCTGCATCTTCTAAAGTGGTGCATGTAGTACGCAAAAAACCCCTGCCTTAATAGCATAATCTTACAATCCCACGTGTTATGCAGATTATCATTATTGTATCAATACACCAACCTCTGCTACCTCCATAATCTCACTTCCGATACCTCCCGTAAAGGTGCACGAGGCCCATTCCTTATTGCTGTCATCAGCAGCTGCGTGTTTGGAATGTTCACCTCATTGTCCATCCCCAGTGAAGGTGCTGCTCGCAAACCTGCATCGTCCATATTCTACCAAAACTGTCTCGGTTGCAAGCGATCCATTTTGACCCCTGGGTGTACTGCTGGTTGCAGTGAACACATACTCGAGTGAGATGTTGAACAGAGTGGGAGACAATTTACAACTCTGCTGCAGAACACTGATTCCTCAAATCACTCTCATGTCTCCCACTTTAACCTCACACAAACATGGGTGTCATCATTGCTTAGACTGTGCCGTACCAGCAAAAGAGTTGCCTTCCCTCCTAACAGAATCATATGCTTGTTTAAACTTTCCAAAACAAATACAATAATTAGTTACACTTTCTAAACTCTTCTGTATTTGCTTTTTTGTAAAAAATAAGGACTCCTTAACATCCTCGCTCCAAGCCCACTGGTCTTTCCTGCATGATGATTACATCTACTTGTTTATCCTGTTGAGAAAAAACTTTGGTAAACACTTTCCCTGGAATGCTCAGTAAACTTATCTTCCTAGAGTTAGCACACTTACTTCTGTTCCGTTGCTTAATTATATCATGAGGGGCCTTTTCCACTGCTTTGGCCACTACGGCCTACACCTAGCAACTCTGATTGCATTGGCAGCTCCGCCAGTGTCTGTCGACGACAAGCATAATGAGTGAGCCACAGGGCTCCCTTCTCACCGATCTGCCAGGTCGGGGACTGCCGACTTCTTAGTTGCCCGTGTTCATATGGATTTGGTTGTAAATGCCATTGGGTTAACCTGCAGGGCCCGAAAAGTTCGTGTTTTTTGCACCGTACGTTTTAAAGTAATAAATGTCACAGTTTCTCCACTTAAACTATCACCAGAAATTACTGTTTAATCCCGGAGACAGGGCACATCTAGGTGAACGATGTGTCTAGCAGGCAGATGGCAACTGTTATTATCTTGGGCCTTGTGCAAACTACCTCGGTTGTACCGCTTGTAACAAGCACAAGAGGGCGCTAATAGGAAGGATGGCCAGGCAAATGAGTTTCAGTGCTCTTCCTGCATGCGCATTTCAGGTGAAAATGACGTTTGACAGAAGTGGTATTCAGAATAATTATTGTGACATGTTTATTGCACGTGTGTTATTGGCGCATGTTAAAGTGAGAATCTAACTGTTGCAAAGTGGTGTGTCGGGGTGCCACGGTGGCAAGATGTTAACTACCTCACGTGGGATACAGGAGGTCGTGGGTTCGATCCTGAACCTCACACCATTATATCTGGAGTGTGCATGTCTCTCTCCCCGTGATTGCGTGGATTTTTCTCCGGGTCTCCTGGTTTTTTCCCTCCACATTTATAAACGTGCGTTTAGAGCACTGGGCCGCTATACATTTCCACGTGATGAGTCACTTCGTTAAGCTTGTTTAGTTTTAGTTAATTTAGTTTCGAAAAATGCCATTTTGTAGATGCGCTGTGTGTCCCATTGTAATTAACCCCTGGCCTCTCTAAGTGCTGTGAACTGACAATGCCCATTGCCCGAAACGTCCCCAATTAGATATTTTTTGAGGCCATTGTTATTGACGAATGTGAGTTTTTTTGGGTATTTCTGCTTGTGCACCACTGTCAATGAAGTCTCACCGAAATAACCTGTAAAAAAATATTCACGCAACCTACCCCACAACTGATGCCTACTTGTGCACAATAACTTCTGATATTTTTATAAAATAGACACGATTGGAATTTATTGAAGCTTCGGATGATTGTTTTATACATTATTCACTTTTAGAAATTCACCCGCTGTGACCGTGCATGGTGACATTGTGTTGTGATTTGCTCCAAGGAGCGTGCACTCCTTATCTATATTAGGAAATGCAGACTCCCCCAATACTGCTGGGATATATTATACATTCCACAGTCCGCTATGGTAAAGTTATATTTGTTTTCATATAGCATCAAACCTGAAAGGTGATATTCACATACTGGACTGGACTTCAACATTCAGCAGATTATCCAGGAGATTGTAAACAGGGCCTCAATTGTGCAAAATTTACGATTGGTGGTGTTCCTGGGAGCGACTTTTCATCTTCACAGCGAGTGAGTGGCACAAGGGGGAAGTTCCCAGCTCGCCTTCCCTCCTCACCTCAGCCCTGGCTTGGACACATGTGCTACTTTTGAGACACAGTGGGAATTAGGGATTACACTTTCTTACAGTCCCTAATCCAGGGGTGTCTAAACCTTCCGATGGCCAGATTGACTGATGTGTTCATAGCCACAGGCCACAGACATGCAACATACCTCCATAATATGTAAATATACTTAAGTAAATATTATGTAAATATAATTACGCGATCTAACCCAAAAAAAACTCGTACGTGTTAAAATGAAACGTGTACCGCATGCAATTACGAAATAAGATTTATAGGAGATATATGCATTGACATATGATGGGAGAGATGCAGTCATAAGAGAGAGATAGAAGAGAACAGCATTCAGACTATATATGAGCTGGAAATATGATTGTCAGAATAATTTGAGATAAGATACATAATATAAGAGATATGATATAGATGATTTAACATGCATTAAGATATAAGAGATAGGAGCTAGTTGTATTCACAATCGAGCCAGAAAGGAGAGCTATAAGATGTTTTCAGAAGAAACAGTAGGAAGAGGAGAGTGATTATTCAGTAGAGATAGATAGAGAAGAGAGTTGCATTTTGAGACGAGATGGAGAGGTTGGAAAGACGTAAATATTCATATAAAATAGAAGACAGATATTGACTTATTCAGAAGACATAGGGGACAAAAATGAGAGAAAATATAGAAGAGTCATGAGCGAGATGTACAGAGGTATAAACACACATGTACAATACTCAAGCATTCTGCTGCCTAAATCCCAATGTATTTAATTTGAAAGGTGCGGAGTAAGATTGAGTGATGCTGGCTGTGGGCTAGATTAAATAAGCACATGCTCTGGGTTTGGGCCATATAGCCTAGTTTGTACAGCCCTGATAACGTTCAATTAGATCATATACATGCGCAGGAAATGCACTTCTTCATTAGATGCCAATTAAATATGTTACCAGTGTCTGCTGAAGACAGCAAGACAACCTGTCCATGCATCGTGGTATTGTCTTGTGCAGAAGCGTGTAGTGGGACATTACTTTCCTCATCGTTCGACATTGTAGTGTAAAGTGCAATCACGTATCATGGAAGTGGTGTTCTTTTGTGCCCTATTTGTGCCGCTACGCATTCTCATCCAGCGATACATTTCCATCGCGGTTTGCTATTAATTACCAGGACCATTGCATTGTCTTGCATAATCTTAGTGTGTAGGGTGCTACTGCTGTGAGGTGTGCCATCCCGCGTTTTTGACAGCGTGCGCCGTCCGCGTGCTGCGTTGCGCCGCTGTGACGCAGGAAGAAGTTGACGCTGTTCCGGGAGATGCTGGCGGGCTGCGGAGCCGGCACGTGTCAAGTGATCATCACCACACCCATGGAGATGCTCAAGATTCAGCTGCAGGATGCTGGCCGCCTGGGTGAGTCCCTCTCGCCTGGCTTCCGTGCATTGGTATCGGTTAGGCATTGAGAGACGTGAGTTGGAGGGAACCCCGTGGAAGTAAGTCTGAGCATTTATTATCGTGTACTCTTATGAACTAAACTAAAACTAAACTCTTTTTATTTTACTAGGTAAGGCACACTGAGGTATATAGTTTTTTTTTCAGAAGCGACCTGGCCACAAATGATATCCCAATGAAGTGGCTTATCATGTGGAAATTTATAGCAGCCAAATACTCTAAACGCGTGTTTCTAAAGGCAGAGGGAAAAACCGGAGTACCCGGAGAAAAATCCACGGCACCACGGGGAGAACATGCAAACTCCAAATATGCAGGCGTCAGGGTCCAGATGGAATCCGCGGCATCCTGTATACCAGGCGAGGTAGTTAACATCTTGCTACCATTGCGCCCTAGTCCAGGCCATCACAAATGCGCACTCATCACACATAGTAAGCTCTTAGGAACAACTCTGTTTTAAGTCTCTTGCAAAACTGCCTCAGGCTCAGGGATGGAACCCAGACCGTGAGTTGTTAACTTCTTCCAGGTCTTTGGGCCGGAGACCCTGAAACTGCATTAGCAGTATCACCACACAAAGTTCACACGTGATATGTACAGAAGATCACTGTGGGCTGCGGATTGTAGACGGTGTCGATGTGGGGTCTGTTCAGACCGGTATGCACTGATCGGCAAGATAGGACGGAGCGGATTTATGCAGACTCGTGTGTTTGCTAAACGATGTGTATAATGCAGGGGGTTTGGAGAATAATGCCAAGAGTTGTTATTGTGCTATCGTGGAAAGTAGTTGACAAACTGAATACATAATTTGGCCGTTGAGCACCATTGCGTGCAGAGACTGTTTGGTAAAGGTGCATGGTGGAGTTCGGGAACTTTGTGTGTACCCAGAAAGTGTTCTAGATGCAGTCCTGAAAAGGAGGGTAGAGATGGGTGAGCGAATGTGTGGGAGGAGAGAGTTGGAGGAGAGCGTTGGAGGGAGGAGAGTGCTGGGGGAGAGCGTTGGGGGAGAGCGTTGGGGGAGAGCGTGAGAACTCACAGGACCAGGATAGCCTCATTGCATGAGTGGCGTGGGATCACAATACAATTGGTCAACACCATCTTTGGGCAAGGATTAGTGTCAGGCCATTGCATCGTGATGTAGTTGGTGGAATCTGTTTGCCCTGTTTTAACTTTGGATTGTTCACCATCTCAGAAGGGTTTACAGTACACTCTCCATCTATTCTGTGCGGGAGAATGGCGGGAACAAAAGTTTAGGCACATTTTTTCTGGAAAGTTTCCATCAGCAGAACGTTCCACAGTTATAGAATGCAATAGGTTCATAAATTGGGATAGAATTTTTTTGTGCTGCAGTATAGGAACATGAATTGTAACACATTTTTTTATGATGTTAATGTTCATTAAATTGTCCTTAGGTGGGCAATTATGCTCGGGAAATGTGCAAGCAGTGTGTAGATGTGAGTGGGCGGATTTTAAATCGTCAGCACTAATCTTCGATTAGGGAGTAAACCATCTTGCTCTCGCACGATTATTTGGGATTGTGGCTCGTTCGCAGATGTGGCTGTGTGGCTCAGAGCACTAACGATCCCGTCTCATTCAATACTTTCAAGTTTGTGAGCCCAACTGAAATACCAACATTTAAAATGCTTCTCTAAAAGATCGTGGTTTATTCATTCGGTCCCTTCATAAACAAAAGCAGGGACATTTCTTCCAATTATGTGGATTCAATGCACATGTACAGCCTTTAAAAAAATTGTATAAACTCTTTTTTTTACCAGATGAGGCCCACTGAGCTATACAGCTCTTTTCAGAAGGGAGTTGGCCACAAATGATAGCTCATCGAAGTTGCTTATCTTGTGCAAATTTATAGCAGCCAAATACTCTAAACGCATGCTTCTAAACATGTTTAGTTGTTGCTAAACCACTGATGGATTGTGTGGTTATTTGACCTTACTTTACCATGCTGTCAGTGGTGGTTGGTGAAGGTGAAGAGAATAGACATTGGAGCACATTACTGTACATTTCCACGATGCGTGATGCTGCACCGCCCTCTGCTGACAGTATAGCCCTGCCGATGATGGGGCCACGTGGATTAATGGCTTTGTGATGTACATTGTAAGTTCTGGTGCTAGACAAACGGAGTGAGAAAAATCGAAGAGTGGGGCGGTCATCGTAGTGCCAGTTTTTCACAGAAAGTCCCTGCACTGCACACTGGACCACAATGCTCAATATGCAGCTCGAGGAACTGTGTGTGCCACAAAGCCCTGTCACATGAATTACATTGGGTCGCTTGTGTCGTGGCATCATTGAACGTTGTGTGTAACTGCCACTACTTATGGCCTATAGTAACGGCCTTGAGCCAACCGGGGGCAGAAGGGAAGCTGATGGAGATGAGTGAGGCCGTTAGGCCAAGATAAACCCCAGTGTAGCTCGGGACCAGGGGTACAGACCCCAGACCCCCAAGAGGGGGGCTGCGGGATAACGTCACGCTCCAGGCCCCTCCAGACGGTTCCAGAAAGGAGGAGTGGCTGGGGGCAGAGTGAGCCAGAAAACGGTATAAAAGCCGGTCCCCTGAACGGGCCCGGCAGTCGTCGTTTACCTGAAGATCTATGAGCCACCCCAGAGACCTGGCGCTGCCACCTGGAAGACCTGTTGCGAAGAGCCCAAAGGGCAGAACCCGAACCCCTGGCTAGGGTCGGGATAAAAGCTTAACCAGTGTAGGGTCAGAGCTTAACCAGGGTAGGGTTAGAGCGTAACCAGTGTGAGGGTAGAATAGTCCGGAGGAAATACCTCCTTAGTGTATCGGGTGGAAGGGGCCGTACCCCTTTGTGTTATGTAAATGTTAAATAAACGTGCTGCCTCCAGAAGAGAGAAGTCTCCTCAAGTTTTGCACCCACTACACTTGTAAGATAGAGGTCATGGTTTTAAAAACATGCATGAGCAGGCTATGAGACAGATCGGCTAGTGATCAGAGAGGCTTTGGCAAACTGGTGCTAATGCAAGTTAAGGTAGGGGTGAAGGGACGGGTCTTGGTTAGCTGGCCATGAGAGGGATGGCTGAACGGATCGGTGAGTGAGCTATGAGAATGAACGAATTGACCGGTGAATAGGCTGAGATCAAGAGTGAAATGTGAGGCTAAACACAAGTCTCTTGTGGTTTATGTTCCCTAGGTGAGAACAATTAACCATGTCGCTAAGTCTTGCTTTTTGCAAGCAGTCTTTCTGTAAATTACATTTGTTATTGCAGTTTTAATTGGCCAATCATAAATCTGATTTAGTTTTCCTAGTTACATTCAAAATGATCCCTACTATCATACTTTGGCATAATTATCACTTTTTTCCTTTTCAACTAGATGGAGAGATGGACCAGATTCATGCCTGTAGGTGGTCCAATACAAAAATGAATCAATTTCCTTTTCAAATACATTGGCGTTGTTCCTTTCATGATGGTGTGCAATCAGCCAAGCTTAAGTTAAATGCTGGCCAGATACTGGCTGGGTTGGTTCTGTGCAAAAGCCGGGCCAGGACGAGTATCCCCACAAAACTTTTGCATCTGTTTTCCTTTGCAGAGTTCTACCTGAGGAGTTCCTATCATGAAAGAAAAAAACAAAACTGTCTGCGGTGTCCTTCGCAATTCCTCTGAATTTGTGTGACCTCGTTTAACCAATCTCAGAGTTTTCGTGCGACATTACTTTGGGACAATTTTTCACCCGAGCCACTGACCCATAATGCAACTCTCTCCGCAGCATTGCCGCTTCATTGTAAAATGGAGCTATGTAGACTGCAGCATCTGATTTCTGCCATTAGACGTGGCCGTTTACCGGCTTCAACGCCTCTTCCTTGCCTTTCGCATTGCACGCCGTGCGACGGACACAGTGGCGCAGAAAAGCCTGTTTGGATCGGCGTCCGTGGGGAGCGCCGGAATGAGGGAGGCGGCAAGTGGAGCGAAGCCGCCTGTGCCGGGGCCCGTGCCAGGGCCTGTGCCACCGAGCCGGGGCTTCTCGAGCGGGACCCCACTGGGGGCGTCGCGCTCTGCCATGCAGATCACACGCGACCTCCTGCGCGCACAGGGCATCGCCGGCCTCTACAAGGGCCTGGGGGCCACCCTGCTGAGGTACATGAACGGTACCACACGCTGAGCCACCCTGGCGTGGTGAGTGAGCAATATGCATTGACACACTGACCCACCCTGTGCAGTATTCCCCACCGAAGCTGATGGGTGGATACCGAGTTTAATACTTAGATAATGATAGTGGGGCATGTGGTGTCTGTGCAGGGACGTCCCTTTCTCAATGATCTACTTCCCGCTCTTCGCGAACCTGAACTCGCTCGGGGTGACTACGCCGGGCGAGCGCGCGCCCTTCTACCATTCCTTCGCCTCGGGCTGCATCGCGGGGAGCATGGCGGCCGTCGCGGTGAACCCCTGTGACGGTGCGTCCCACCGACCGGCATTTCTCGCCGCAGCGCCATGGCACAACACCGCCGTGGCCGCCGAGGCCTGACTCATGACAAAGACAAAGATCCCCGTTTTACCTTAGTTTCGCCTTAACAGACTGTTGGGGCAAGTGCTGTTAGCGAGCAGCCCTTATGAGGGCCAGTACAGCACACGAGGGAGTGGGTGGCGAACACCACGCCCGGCCGCCTTTGTTTCCCTCGTGGCGATGTTTTCAAACAGCACCAATTACTCATTTGAGGCTGAGTCGACCTAGAGGAGGCCCAGGACTGGTTCAAATTATCGTTAATAGTGTTGGCCATAAGCGGGAATCGAACTCGGGTCGCCAGGTTTGTAGCCCAGTGCGCTAACCGCTACATTACTGCTCACACACGCACACGTGCGAGCACGCTGTGGCTGCGTTGACACACGCCGATCAATGCACTCTCAAATTGCTCCGTTGGAATATACACAGCAGTTGTCACCCTCCTGCACCTCCATGTAGCACGGTTGGCTATGTATGGTGCGAAACAAGTTGAACATACATACTCCTGAAAAATAATCATGAGAGTCAATAAGGCTTTCCTAGATTAACAATTGTAATATCAATAAAACTCACTGCGGGGTGCCCCGAGTTATCCAAACTCAGAATGTTTCACCAATTTTAGATATATAGATTTTTTCCCACGTGGGAGGAAGCTGTCGTGACCACGGAAGACCCATGCACACGAGTGCATAACTCTCAAATGCCACCATACTTATGCCAGATGCGTGCTCCGTATCCAGCAGATGGTGCTTCATGCATGGTGTGATCGACGAACCCAGCCTACAAACCACTGGATTACGGGTGTGCATCTTCACCACTCCCAGTCACTGTTTTATGAATGGTTAAATAAGCATAGGTGACAGATGTCCTATCACTGTGTGTGCTCCAGTCAGTGGCTTATGTGTCCATCATCCATAGGTTCCCTGCTATCTGGGGTCTGTTGCATCGCTCCAAAATGGCCTCTGCCTCTCCTCCACTCAGTTCGCATGAACCATTAGCATTTGGGTCCTTAGCGATTTGACTCATCCAGGATAGGCAAGGGGTAAGTAGAGTGGAGAGGTATGCACCGGGGCTGCGATGGGGCTGCAGTGCCCCCTCCTAACTTCGTCCCTGTGACTGTAGTGATCAAGACGCGGCTGCAGTCGCTGCAGAGGGGCGTGAATGAGGACACCTACACAGGGATTGTCGACTGCACCAAGTGAGCAGCTACCTATTCCCCAACACAAGCACCACTCACTCACCCGTCTCCACCCACCTTGTGCCACCCACCTTGCGTTGGGATGCCCCATGGATATTTTTTTCTGACATGCAGGAAAATCCTGGCGAAGGAGGGTGGCCGTGCCTTCTTCAAGGGCGGCGGCTGTCGTGCGCTCGTCATCGCGCCCCTCTTTGGCATTGTGCAGGTCATCTACTTCTTCGGCGTCGGTGAGATGATCATCGACTACTTCCACTAGCGGCGCCAGAGTGCAGCTAGAGTGGCCGGCCATGAGGCGGAGAGCCATTATTGTGGGCCTGTCAGCCACAACTTACATCAACATACGCAGCCTGACAAGCCCTGCACACACACGTAGATATACTTACACCTGGGTGCATATATACACACACACATGGACAGATACACTTATACCTGCAAGCTCATAGAGACACATACACTCACATACGTTTACACCTGGATACACGTACAGCTATGCCTATTGTAGCTGTCTTCACCAGTTACACGCTATCCCAGATTAAAGTATACTGTGTCACCTTCACCAGCTACATACACACGCTCTACAAGTGGTCACTTTTTGAGGGCACATATACCCCGTTACACATATATCCGGCTCAACATAACAGCTGTACGAGGTCCAGCCATACATCCAGAGGCTCATCCACTGAACACACGCGTGCCCTACTCGACGTGCACCCAGGCGAGCGTGCGCTCGTCCGAACGTGCAAGCAGTGTGACAATCCACGCGCAGACGTTCTTTAATTTGGTGGGGGGGGGGGGTGATCTCGTGGGTAGAGCTGCTAGGATCGAGCCATGAGCTTTGGGGGTGTAGCAGGGAGGTGGCGCCTTGGGTGTGTGCGCGCGCGCCAGCTCGGCTCGCACGCACGCAACACGCGGCCACAAGAGGTGCCTTCTGCAGTGGGGCGTTGGACAGTGAGTCGCGCGCACACGCAGCACGCATGCACGCACGCACGTAGGCGTGAGCAGGGGGTCTATTGTGCGAAGGTGAACGGCGTTTCAAAATCAGCCGTCCTGTCACTGAGACGGGACACTGAATACTGCTGCTCCATAGTTAAACCAATGCTATGTTTTAATTATTTCGACTTTATATTTATCTTACATACCTTATTTTAAGAGAAACAGATATTGCATCATACTCTTTGGTTCTTTCAGGAAAGTCACGTAGATGGAAATTTTAAATAAAAATAAATGAAATAAAAATAATAGATCACAACGTTTCGATCGCAACAACAAGCGAGTATGAATTCCTGCAGTCACGAAAGCCTCAAATCAAGATTAGATATTGAATCACTTAAGTGTTGCGATATTTTGGTTTGCACTTAGCACATGATAGTTTAGTCGCTTAATGATTCTGCCAATGGCTTTGCCGACAAATGCAAACAGGTGTGGGTTTACTGTGAGCAATATCTGGGGTCACACGGACACATGTGCCGGTGGCCACCTGATCATGCCCAGCTGAGATGCTGCTTCATGCCCTGAGCCTGTGGGGGGTCGGCCCTCGGCTCCCTGTTCCTGAGACAATAGTTTAAGCCTTGTGATGATTGGCGGTATTTGTCCATCTCCCCTAGGGCCCACACTGGTCCTGGCTATACTCCCTTGGAGTGCGCATGCATGATCCCTGTCATGTGTCAGCCCTGCGTACACTACTCTGTCGCTCACCTCTCACATCTAAAATACCCCCCCATAGAAAATTAGGACATGAAGGATATTGCTGTATGAACCCTCTAGTTTTTGTGGGTTTGCAGAACACATTGCTTCTTTCAAGAACGCAGCATAACTTTTGAGGTTGGAGAACATAGATGCCTATGTCTCGTATGAGATCCCGAGATGCATAAACATGCAATAACCACTGGCTAGTGCTTGCAGAATGCTTGTTATGCTTTTGCCTGATGCTAAGCATTGCACAATCTGATGCAAGTTCGTTGTGGATTCCGATACCCTCTCCGTGCATTGTGTTCCTGGCTATTCTGCTAAGCATGGCAGGGGAAGGGATGAGAGTGGGGATGGGATCCTATTGCTTGTGGGTACGCACATAAACCTTAGTGGCTACATCTGTGGACAACGGACATTTTATTAGTGTTATTGTGACTGTGAGATATTATCTTTTGTTGAATCAACACTAATTATAACAGCTTTCAATTAATTTAAGTGCATTTATACTATAGGTAGACATTGATTGTGTTTTTTTTTATTTTACATGATCTAGGCAAGATGAATCTCTAGCTATGAGTAGCAATTTTAATATTAACTTATTGGCGTGGGTTTTTCCATCTTTTTTGCACTAAATACATACACCGGCTGCTGCTTCCACATCACTGCTCACCCTTATTTCTTGACTTTTTTTTATCACACTTGCTATTGTTTTCCTACACACTGATCCAACTCACAATTTACGTCGGTATTTTGAGATTTGGCCACTGCGCATCTCGGCGGCATCCTTTCACAAACCCCGGAGTGGCCACTCGCAGATCGCCCTTCGCTTGTGAGCATTGCACACATGCTTGCACGCACACCCACGCATTATTGTTGCTCACATCGACACTTATTTATGGCAAACGTGACAGCGGGTTTGGCAGTCGCACGTCTCTGCATAAAACAAATATGATGATCTATTAGATTGGATCAATTTTGCCCACTTACCTGGTCTTTCACTTGCTCTGGAGTTTGGTACTTAGAACATTTAAGTAGACTATGTGGAGCATCTTAGCAATGGCTGTCTAGGCCATGCACCTAAGGGACTGGCGCTAGTGCCTCAGTGCACTTTCATTATCTCAGTGTATTTTGTTGCACACTGAACGTGGTGTAAGTGAGGTAGCACATCGATTGTGCGCTGCTCTGTGCTGCACGAAACCTGGTTTCCCTGAGTTTGCTCTGCACAGTAACGTGTGCCAGAGTGAACCACCCCGCACCCTTAGCTGGTGCTAAGGAAATATCTGATCCATGATAATCGTAGATGGTGTTTCCATGCATTCCCAGCCATACAAAATATAAATCACAGAATACATTGTGTCTTAAGAGTCAGTGTCTACGCATAGTTAACTCTGAGGGTGTGGATCGGTGAGGCTCCGTACCTCAAACTCACAAATCTCGATATGTGGACAGTGCTGTTTGAGTGGTGCATGCCTATAATGCTGCAGGTCGACAGGATGTCTGTTGGAGACGGACTTGCTGTACTGTCCTTCCACACACTCTAATTTATTCAAGGTACTGATCTAACATCCTAAGCAGGGCCCCTTTTTGAATAGGATTCTTCATATTCAGTCGGGTATTTTTGGGTAAATAAAGAATGAGTGGTAATGCACAATTAAACACTGACAAAAAACAGACTCTATAGGAGTTGTGTGGGTCCTCCCTTAAATGAATTAATACATTTATCAATTTGACTTAAAAGTATTCGAGATCATTGAATGCATAAATCCTATTAAATTAGGATTTTATCAGATGGGTAAGATTATTGTAAACTTCTTGGCATCTGCCAAGTGCACTGATGAGGCAGGCACTCGGGAGAGTGCCCTGTATCACAGTATATAATTGTGCCATTTTATCTGTTATCGGCTATTTACAAATTTCTCCTCCAATTCCCTACAACGATCTGGTCGTGCTCATGGCCCATTATAACTTCGAAGGTCAGGGGCTGTCAACTTCTGGCAAGTTTTGTGTACCGTGAGATTTGCACAGCACCCAGGCCCCTGGACTGAACATTCCAAAATACTCTTTGAGCCAGTCAATGTTGCAGTGATGTTTACAGGGAGATGGTTTCCACGTGTGTGATAAATACATGGTTTTTATTTCGATTTAAAGCTTTCGTGACTGCAGGGATTCATCTTCTTGGTTTTTTCGGTAAAGTCACGTAGAAGGGAAGTAATAAAATAATAAAACATAATAAAATAAAATAATTCTCACGACGTTTCGGCTACAACGCAAGCAGCCGTCTTCAGGTGAAGAATGAGACACTACCAAGCTAGGAGCTTATATATAAGCTGGGTTGGAGGTGGAAGAGCGCCTTAACAAAAAGAATGTGCATATGAAGAGGAATTTAGCATATTCATGGGAAATGCGTAGGAGGTGGGTGGGGGGGTTTCATAGTCATATTATGCCCATGCATTATGCAGGATCAACAGCACCAAGGGGGGGTGCAGGGAGTAGCATTAACAAAGGAAAGCAATGTTAATAGTATGTAGCTGCAGTTACTAAACAACCACGTAGAAAACTAAAGTATAAACTACTTTAGTTTTTTATGTAGTTTAGACACTTTGTGATGTGGGGGGTTTCCTCTGTAGTTATTCACTGGGCATAAAAAAAAATAACTGTGGTGTCTAGAAGTACCGTACCAAGTGAGAGGTCAGCTGCTTTAAAAATACTTTACCCAATGGGGCAACATCATGCTGCCTGATGCCTTGGAAATGTTGACTAGAACACAGAGACTTGTCCCTCAAGTCCAGCTGTGAGCTACCAAAAATAGAATGTACCTCCTCATGTACAATACAATCACTGCATCTTGCTTCACAGCCAAAAGTAGATGGATCTCAGCTGGGAGACTGAAAGAAGGGCACAACTAATAGTTGTAATTCACATTTACACAATCCTGTCCATTCTGGCTCTGTATCCAGGGGTGTTTACTGCAGTAGTGTTAATGGGTCGTTTAGTTTGTTTGTTTATGAAGTTTTTGAGCCAGCTGGCCAGGATTGGGCAAAACTGAGCCCACTTTTCACCCAAGCAACTGGAGAGCACAGACGAAGCGTTTCTGACATAACATTACAACTAACAATAACATACGCTTTGGGGTATGTCGGTAAAGTCACGTAGATAGAAAAATAATAAATAAATAAATTGCGACGTTTCGATCGCAACACAAGCAATCGTCTTCAGGTGAAACAATACAGCAGACGGACTGCTGAGTCAGGAAGAAATGTAGCGAGAGAGCTGCTGTTGCAGCCAGAGGTTGTAAAGGTTTGAAATGGGTGCAACCCAAGGGTAAGTGGGCGGGGCTAGAGATGGAATTTACAAGTAAATGTAAGATCGCAGAGCTAGGGATACCTCAGTTATTGTGTTGCTAGAGATTAGCATGTCAATCTGTTAATGTAACCCCATGGTTATGGTGCTGAAGAAGCCATTGTATTGCTCGTGATTAGAGATTAGCATGCCAATCTGAGACGGCTCCCGCAGCAGCGGCTGTGTTAATGAGAGACATCAGCCTATTAAACAACGAGCGCCACCGCCGCATAGAGGAAAAGGGAGCAGCAGCTATGTTAGTGAGACATTTAGCCTGTTAAGACATTTAACAAGGTAATGTAACTCAGAGCAAGGCCATAGCCATGGAGTCAACATTGGGGGGGACCAAATCTTCCAGGGGGTCTGGGGGTTCCCCCCCCCCCCAGAAAAAAATAAATCTAAATATGAAAACTCATTTCCTGCCATTCCTGCCTAAAATATGAAAAAAATTCACTAACACATAGGATGGACTTTTAATTTATTTTTTACAATAATGTATAATAGTGTATTGTCTTACATTGCTCTGTTTTTTTTACATTTTCTTGTTTCATTGGATGTAATGGCAGAGATTAGGAATTACTAAAGTACAACCATAACCACAATCATATATACAGAAATCTATTTTATAGCAATATATTGGGGGGGACATATTTAGCATATTTGAATATTGGGCAGGATGTGTCCCGACCAATATATATTATTATTACGTCCTTGACTCAGAGAGTCGAAAATAACTGCTAACATAGGCAGGTAGGATGGAAGCATCACAGCCAGTTATGACTTTACCTGGTTAATAACGTCCTTCCAATGATTGCTCAGTTTGTACCCATCTTCGCTGTTGAAATTGTGTCTGTGTTTATATTACTGGATGGCTTCATGAACAAATTTTCGTTGATAGACAGTGGGTTTGCATAGTACCTTCGTCTTGGAGAAATCAATTTCGTTGGGGAAACTAAGCGACATGTTTCAGACCGTGTTCGCGAACACAAGGCGGATCTGAAACATGGTAGGACCAACACCTCTGCCGTGGCTGATCATTGTTTTAACGCTGTGGGCACACATGAAATGGATTTCTCCAAGACGAAGGGACTATGCAAACCTGAAGACAATTGCTTGTGTTGCGATCGAAACGTCGTGATTTTATTTTATTATTTTTCTATCTACGTGACTTTACCGAAAGACCCAAAGAGTATGCATTCCTGCAGTCACGAAAGCTTTAAGTCAAGATTTAACAATAACAGTTAATAATCGCAGTTAAGAGAAACAAAACATGTATATTATTAAAATAAGAATTACAATCACATATTTTTTTACTTGAAATCTCATCAATAGTCATCATACTACTCGGTACACTGTTCCAGTGCCCAACCAGGCTGCTAGTATTATTATTTAATTTAAAACACCGTGAGCATCAACTGAACGCCGCGAAGAACATTTTTGCGATTTAAAAGTAGTACATGAACTCCATTGATATGGGTGAGAAGGTATATTTTCCATTTAGATGACATTTTTTTTGGTAAAATAAAATGTTGTGTATAAACAGGATAAGAGTACCTTTTCCTTCCATCTGCTGAGATTTAATTTAGTGAGTTAATTAAGGTGCTTCGTGAAGTGAGGTACCTGGCATCTGAGATCAAACGGAGGTAAGAATAAAAAGTAACATCAAGACCATTCAAGCCCCTAACCGAGCTGCATTGATATAATATATCGGAATAGTCAGACTGGGAGCATCACTGCATTGAATAAACGAGGCCTCGGTGTCTGACTAATGGCCAACTTGCGTCTGTACCAAAAGCCCAGATTCTGCCTTTAGATTAATGTGTTCAATGTTAGGCTCGCAAATCCAAAGGCCAAGGTATTTAAATGCATTGACCCTATTTAATGGGATACCATTATAAAATGTAATGGACACTTCAATATTAACAGGCTAATTAGAAAAATACACATATACTGTTTTTGAGCGTTCAATGTCAGTTTTTGACAATTAAACCAAACCTCAATTACCTAAAAATAATTACTCTTTAGGCATTCCCTACACTCGGCTGGGTTTGGGCCACAAGTGTACAACACCATATCATCAGCATACAAACACAATCGGCAGGATTGAACAACCATACTTAAGTCATTGATAAAAGTGTTAAAAAGGAGTGTTCCATCACCCTCTGTAAACTACACATGTTTAGAGATCACGCATAATTTGTTATGACAGCTGGCATGAGATATGCGGTAATTTACTAATTTGCTAAAAGCTAAGTTATCTAGGTTAATTCAGAATTGTACTTGGTCTTCATAAAGCTCTGGAAACCATGCAATCATACTCCCCGTATAAACTGTATTCTTTGTTTTTATTGTTGAGCTGAACAAATCCTCTCTCTAATCTTTGTTTTTTTCGGTTAAAACAGTCTGCCTCAGCAGCAGACCATACTTTCCCACCTGATGACGGACGCTTGTGTTGCGCCCCAAACGTCGTGATTTGTTTAATTTTATACGTACGTGACTTTACCGAAAGAACCAAAGAGTTTGGATTCCTGCAGTCACGAAAGCTTCAAATCAATATTAAATCCTCTCTCCTGTAGTTATTTATGGACTGGTATTTAAATTTTGGTCAGTGCACAGCTGCCTCAGATCATCAGAAACATGGACACTCACAAAGAATACAAGCTGCAAAGTGTGCCGAGGTGTGGAGAGGTGCACGCGTGGAAGTCCACCGAGAGACAGAGAGACACGGGAACAAATACAAAGGAGAGAGATTAATGTTGAATGTTAAGAACATTAAATGAGCCTGGGCAGGTCGCGGCGTGAGGTGATGTCTAAGGGACGAGACTGGTGACGTAGCGGCAGCCAGAGGAGGAAACTTGCCTCAGGGGGCATCTTCAGGGACGCTTTAAATGAGCAATGGATAGAGAATGCCTGATCATGAAAATCGATGTAAAAATCATAGCACGCACATGTAGCGTTGCACTATAGGCTCCACGATCTCGGGGTGCACCATGGCAAGCTGTACACTCGGAACCATCGACTAAGCAGCCATCTTGGTCAATGCCGTTAATTCCACCTCAGATCCAACCCCTGCGCCCACTGTGGGCGAGGGCAAGTATTACGAGTGGGATTTCGTTGTAAGTAGTGATTGCTAAAAGAGCTCTGCTTTAGGGCGATGTGGTACACCTAGCCAATGCTGATGAGTCCCTCGTGGAGGCAATGCCCCCACAACAAGGTGGTGTGGGATCCTAATTACTCACAGTGACAGTGGAGGCAGGAAGAGTCTCCAGTCGAGGCAATGACACCACCGGCACTAGAAGAGGAGAGGACACTGCTAAATGCTCCACCAAACAAGCCACTGTTTCCCTTTTAATGAGGATGAATAAACTATCTAAATACATTTAAACACTGGCTTGGATTTTAGTGAGGCATGCAGGGGTTTTGTGTAGACTTCATAGAGCCACCACTGATCATTTAAAAGTCAACACAGCGTCCATGACATTACAATATTGCATACCATCATACTAACAATGCACCAGCAACACAAACACATTACTGCATTATACATACATCATTTACGAAGCACTAATGTGCCTTGTGCCTAATGCAGCAATGTACACAATTAATTGCTTACTGCTGTGCTGTAACATTCTATAATTTAGTTGATAATTGTGTATTGCATTCCACGACACAGGAACAATTTCAGGTGCACTTGGTGTGAGCCTTATTCATGTCATGTTGGTAGGTGAGATATCTGTTCCAAATCTTTTTGAATGGGAAATCCTGTCGTCACTAAGCCATCGTTGTCCTTTGGGGGCAGTGTAAATCACACAGTAATGTGATCCCACATGAAGGGTCGTATGATCTTTCATTATGCCTGTGGCAGGGGCTATAGGTGTGTGCCAATGGGGTTTTGGCCAGAGGCTGTGTCCTAACTTGTACGCAAGAGTTGAAATAAAATTTCACAAATGGATTTATTGGTTATGAAAATCTTGCCACGACCACACGACCCTTGTGCAGTGTCTCTCTCTAGGTTTATTCCCCTGCTTGTCACTGGGATGACTTTAAACTCAGTTTGAGAACAGGATCATGTTTCAGCTCTACACCAATTGTGAAACCATAACAAACATTCCCACACAAAAGAATAAGAAAATAATCTTGTTTTTGGGTTGTTGTGGTACTGGGTTCTTTCTCAATGTATACGTGAAACGGGTGTTTATCGCAAGAGAACACAAACTATGTTCATGTTTTTTTGCCGTTTCAATGTGATTGTTGGTATATACATGTCAGCACGTCCCCCAACAGTCTTTTAAAGACTATACGGGGACCTTTGTTTTTGTTGTTGTTGATATTCGAGCTATGTTGTATAAACGCATGCTGCCCGAGTCGCCAGGCACCTGTTTTAAACGTTTGAGAAGCACAAATGTACGGGTGTTGCTGGTCCTCACGCGCGCTGTGATTGGATTGTGCCGTCTTTCTCGCTGCGACTGCACGGCAATCACTTCGCCGACCGATTGAGGATTTTATGAAACTGCAATCTGCCGGATTTATTTTTTTCCCACGAGGTACATGTTTAGAAGTACCGTATTTATTGTAATGTTTCCTAAGGTTTAATGCTGAGCTTCAATTACACATTTGAACAAAGACTTTAGTATCATGGTATATACATTTGAAACATTTATTTGTATTTATGTTTCTGCTGTCAGGTGTTTAAGTTGCTCGTTGTTGTAAGCCACAGGGTCATGTCAGACCTCTCACATATGTGCTCATCACACAGATTTTTGTTCGGTGTGCAGTCTAATCACCAAAACAGTTTTTATAATAAAATGAAATTCCATTCCTAACTGGAGTTTCAGCAGTAACAATCTAAGATTTGGGCAGTCTCATGGAAGCTTAAACTTGGAATCCAAGAAGGCTGCACGATTATATATTATTATGTTTTGCTATGTAATGAACCCCCACTAAAACTAATTGTATTAATTCACTGATGCAGAAAAATCCTGAATGACCATGTGCTATGCACTTGTGCAAGTATATTTTGGTGTTAATGGGGTCACGAGGTCACTCCATGATGATGGTGAAACCAGCCTTCACTTGCTTGTAATGAAATTCTACTGCAGATATTATTCTGGAATCCTTCAGCTGATGTACAGAATAGGGTATTATTTAATTTCAGTAGAAAGGCAAAAAGTTAACCTTAATTTTATTGATGCCAGTACTCAGTGTGCAAAGCATCTTATTACTATTTAATATTTTTCAAGAGTGACATGATTACAAGTATGTGCATGCAAGGGACAGTTCGACTTTTCACAAGCACTGTGCATTTTAAAACTATTCAGTTCGACTAGAAATATTTAAATTACTGCACTAAGTGGAGACTGCCATGCAGACAATTGCATGAAAAATCTGTCATCACAGACACAAAGCAATTCTCAGTCACACTTGCCATATCAACATGTGATTGAGAATACCAGCGTGTGATCGTCTGCATACCTAATAATCAGAGCTTCCTCTAATACTATATAAAACTATTACTAACTACTATTTTTATTTTTTTACCAGGTAAGGCTCACTGGGCAATATAGCTCTTTTTCAGAAGCCACCTGACCACAAATTATAGCTCAACGTAGTGGCTTATCATGTGATAATTTATAGCGCCAAATACTCTAAACATATAAAAACTTGATTTGAAGCTTTCGTAACTCTAAACATATGTTTATAAATGGGTAGGGAAAACCCGGAGGACCCGGAGAAAAATCCATGTGACTATGGCGAGAACATGCAAACTCCAAATATACAGGCGTCAGGGTCGGGATCGAACCCACGATCACCTGTATACCAGCGAGGTAGATCCATACTCTTTGGTTCTTTCGGTAAAGTCAAGTAGGTATAAAATAAATTAAATCACGACGTTTCGATCGCAACACAAGCGACCGTCATCAGGTGGAACAGATACAGCAGGAGAACTGCTATTTTATTTTATACCAGCGAGGTAGTTAACATCTCGCCACCCTGGCACCCCAGAAATAACTGGGCACAAGGGACCATGGCAGAGCCTGGGGTTTTCTGCCACTGGAAGCACTCTAGACGTGCTAGGCAGTGCACTGCATTACAGCACTCTCTATACTACCCCTCATGTATATATGCAAGTATAGCCCTTTTGTTAATCCACTGCTTTCCCTATACATTATTAAAATTTATATATGTGCAGCATGTGTACTGTTTAACTGACAGATATAGTGTTTGTTGTTAGAAGCATAGTATGAGATTGTGAATATACGGTCAGCACATTCTAAGACTGGCACAGCACATGAGAATGTGGTGTGGCCAGGACCAAGCTCAGCCACCTTTGTCTCCCCAGTGCTGATATTGGCCATATTGGGCACACATCTTACTTGGAGTTGACCCAAGGAAAGCCTATGCCAGGTTCATAAACCGATGGCAAGTGGAGTTGTGCTTGATCATCCTATTAATCCATTAAACACTCACGACTGCACCACCTATTAGAGAAGCTCTGAGGGAATAAACGAAGCACAATACATACCGAGCATAGGGGATTTGGGAAGAGGGAAATAAATTAAAAAGGTTATGCGAGGAAAATTGTAATCCTAAAATATCCTATTCGGTGACTTGATTAACTAATCATGGTATGTGTATTGTTGTGATAAACAATGGAGTATCAGCTTTACTTACAATAAACTCATTAACTTTTATTGTGTAAGTAGACTATGCTGATCGAAATTCACGGTGCAGCCTTCGTTGTGGGCCTCGTATCACAGACGCGACGATTGTGTCGAGTGACCACCGAGCGTGGAGTGACCACCGAGCGTCACGCGAATCACTTGAAAGCGATGAAAACCGCATTTTGAAACTCTGACATGTAAAAAAAAGTCTGAGTCAATTAACAGAACACGTGATTAAATAGGTACAGCTTGTACTTGCATGCACACTGTAGAGAAGGCTCTTTGTATCGTTAATTACAGTGACAGATCTATTGCTAAAGGTCTCAGAATTGAAACGAACAAATGTTTTAAATGAATGTTCTAACAAAATAATTCAGGTTTTGCATTTCCTTTTTGCCAAAAAGCATCCAAACTCATTTACATCCATGTTTACATATCAATACATTGATATACCACATGATAACTTAGTGAGAGAGCAGCAGTAAAATATTGTAGAGCAGAAGACGCAATTCCATTCCGTTTGACAAGAGGCATTAAAGACGAAATATTTACGACCAAACTATGTAGAGTGACTATATATAATCTGCAGTGCGCAGATTTTTGTATTGCGTCATGGATCTGATGCATTTAAACTGCAAAATTTCAAATATTGTAATTATATTGGTTCGCCAATACACTTATCCATGTTTAAATCATTAACATGTAACACTATTTTGAACGTGTCTTACTATTGATGTTTCTTGATGTGATTGCAGCTATTTATGGAGAAAACCCGTTGTAATGTCGTACGTGTTGTTCTTTGAGCGAAAGCTCGCAACACATCCCAGTTGAAACACTTGAATAGTTCACTATCGTGGCAAACATAATCTGCGTCTGATTTCAAGTCAGCAAGTGACTGGAGAATGGCTTTCAAATATTGCACAGCATGTGTACTTGTGTTTTCATGATCCTGGTAATCTGCTGCCAGTTTCATGGTTACATGCATTGTTACAGACACCACACTGGTGGTAGTGGTGGTATTGCCTGTGTGTCCCTCATGCACACGCATTACGCTTTGTCGTGATTTTCACTCGACACCGTTTGACCGAGCGACATGCAATGGAAAATTTTCGCGCTACGTAGTCATGTATAAGGTAAGTAGTTTCATAGACACTGTGTGTATACGCTTTTAAAACTGAAGTTTTCTTAAGTAATTTATTTTTGCCTTTCCATAGACTGCTGCAGGTTTTTTTGTGATGGAGTGGCTTTGAAGTGAGGTGTATGTCAGGTAGGCAAAGGGTGATGATGTGGGAGAGCGGGTTCGTGGTATAGGAATTGAGGGAGGTGTGCTCTGTAGAGATTCGGGTTGGAGAGAACACGAGGAAGCATACTGCACCAGTGACTAGATGCACGTTTCCCTGCTGTAGAGTGAGCATTATATTTGAAATATTTTACTGACTTGGCTCCAGAATGTCCTCGTGCAGTGCCGGTCACGTAATGAGGAGTTTGGAATAATGTACAAAAAAACATCTCTTGTTTCACGCGACTCCAGCATCTATCACTCTTTCGAAAATTGTGCACAGTGCATTTAGTGGAATGAATGAGAGTTACGATCCATTCGCCTGCTCCCTCCTGTGTTCTCCATCCGCTGTCGTGTCTCCTGTAGCTGCAGATTCTGACACTCGCTGCTAATTCTTTGCTGCTGCGAAGCAGGGGAACATGCTCTGGTCGCTGATGCAGGCAGTATGCATTGTCCTGTTGTGATGAGGCCCCTTCAATGTAGCATTGTTCCAGGTGATCTTGGTGCACCAAAGCGCAGGATTTTCATCCCCTCGACTGCCAATGATCCAACTTTCCCTATGAGTCACTTGTCTCTGTGGCTTTGCAGACCGGGTACAAATACTGCATCTCCGCCTTGGCCTAACAGTCCACAACGTAGCCTTTTTCTTTTTATCTTCATCGCTGTGAGGTTGCAGGCTCGCGAACGTGGATTTATTACAAACACCAAGGGGTTAAGTTCTTGAAAATGTGTAAATGTTATGTCAAGTGCTCCTGCAAAATGTAAATTGTTTGTGGGAACTACGTGCGATGGCGTCATGTTGACAAGTGAGGCTACGTCATATCCAAAGTACGTCAGCAAATAACCTTTTTAAAACAATTCTCATGAGTAGAAAAGTTAATTTAATGTTGATTATGAAAATGTAATTACCAACTCTGTAATAATAATAATAATTAGAGGAGCAAATGTGTGAGAGTGCAGCTAGCCTGACGGGCAGTGTGCTGATGTTTCTGCCACTTGGTCGAAAACGGTGGCTGCGGTTGTAGTACGAGACAGACCGTCGTGAAGCGACGTTTGTATCCGTCGCAATCGACGTAGATGTCAACCGCTGCGTAGTCGCATGCTATAGAATCGTCTTTTGTCTATTGGAGTTCCACGCAAGACTGCATTTTTTGGTAAAAACAGCACAAGGACAGTAACGTCTAAATCTCCTCATGTAAATTCCCAATTATGTTAAGGGAAATAACCCACCAACAAGTATACATTACGATCGAAAAATGTTTCTTAAAATATGTTAGAATCGGACACATGACCGCCTGGTTGACACCCTGGCAAAATGTTTGACACACAAGTGGGAGCTCACGAGTTCACATCCCAACTAGGGGTTCACTCGGTGCAACTTTTCGACGAGTTCCACTTTGTGGGAAGCCGAGAACCTCGATGTGCATGAGAAACTCGTCTGCTGGTTACCAAAGTAGTATCGGCATGGGGCAGTACAACAAGTAGGGTTTGACTTATCGTTATGGTTTTAGTGTGTGAGTTTTCTTCAGGCCCTAATCGAGAGGGAATTGACCAAACATCGCAAAGCAGGATTCTCGTGTTCGAATGATTAGAGGAACACCAGCAGTAGTGCTGCATCCTGCACTGTGTTTAGTCTAAAGGGAGAGCTCATGTGGCCTCGATCGTCTGCCTGAAAAGTCCTCAAGTTATTTATGGCAGTGCATTTGAAGAATTGGCTGGCAAATTCAGTTCAGTATGTTACAATTATACTGAACAATCTGTGTAATGATGACCACTGATGTTGACAATTTAAGTGTCCTTCATAGACAAGTGGTCTCCAAACAGGGTTAGTTAAAATGAGATGTTCTGGGAAGTGCGGCAGTGATTTAGGCAGCGAGGTGTTCACTGTGAAGAGTGGCTCAGCACGAAACAGGTGCCGTCGTATTGCGATGGCTGCACTGATCCAAGCCTGCCATTGCATTTACATATTCATGTAAACGTTCTGCTTTGTGATCTTCCCTTCCTTGTTGCAACGCTTTCCGGACGATTTTTGTCGGGGATGTGGCTTTTAGTGATGCAAGATTGCGCTTCGTATTATTTACTGGATGTCCGTTGGATGCGTGTGATTCAGATTAAAAAATTTTTACAATTTGGGAAGTTTTGAACTTCAACAGGTTTGGTAAATAAAGTGCGGTTGGGTGCCCCTCATCGCGACGCTACTGCTTTCATGCACACACTGCTCCATGACGTCCCGTGGTGCGGTGGTAACCGTGACGGCGCTACCACAAATATTCCATTGGAAGCACCAGACGATGGTGAAATGTTCTGGTTCACAATGGCAATCACAGTCCAGTGTTTCCAGTTAATTCAAATTGACGCAGTCGGCTACTACATAGGGGGTCATTATAATTCCGTGCTACGATTGGTAGGTGAGCAAAGGTTCAGCATCTTGTTTCTCTGAGGGCCGCGTGCAAGCATTGTAAGAAGTGCAATTCCATCCATGGTTAAAATTTACCACTTTTCAAACCATATTCGAGTCTCTGTATACGTGATTCTTATGTTCCTTATATTGTGGTAGAATTGGACATCTTACCCAGTCCTTGCCTCGACGTATATATATATTTGCCAGGTGGTTGTAGTTACACATACCTGTATTTAAGCAGTGGACGCGAGGGTTGGTGCATCGCACAAATACTGTGAAACTCCCTTCCCGTGGGAATCGAGGTGCCATACCCTTTCTTAGAAGGCTGCAGAGCAAATGTGGACAACACCTGTTCCATTTGTATGGGATAGAGTGTTGCCCCCTCCCAAACATGTTTTTTTTCTCCTGGATGCCCCAGATTCGTCCATCTTTGTATATTGGGTATCGCAGAGCTTGGGGGGGAAGTCGATGCTGGCTCACCTGGCTGCCTTCTTCACGCAATCCATAGCTCCTCGCACCTCTGAGTCATTCTCCCTCTTCGAGATTGAGCGAATATTGTGTAGCGTGTTACAAGTCGAAATTATTATTATAAAAGGGAATTAATTATAAAATGATATTTACAAATCTGAACATAAAACTTTTTGAAAAGAAGTCCTGGAGTAATATTGTGGAGCCTTACATGTATTAATTTTGTTAGGATTTCTTTTAGTTCATGCTGATTCCATACCTGAGTTCAGCTGCCACACTGCAGCCAACAGAATGATCTACAACAATGGTCATCGCTGGTAATGGCGATTCTTTCAACTCAGAGCTTCGTTTTTTTACAGAGCTGTGACATTGATTAGATGCTAATTTTGGGAGTGAAGGTAGGATGGGAATTTAAATACATGAATGTATAATTCACAGTCACTTCTATGAGGCATAGGGCATGGGGAACGCCGCAGTGGTTGTTCACCTACGTGTGGGAAACTCACTGTGGAGCAATGGATTCTGGGGCAGGGATGGTGGAACCTGCACCACCCCGTACATACTCCTCTGGCCAGTTTACCGATGCATTCCCCTTGGTACACGTTTCCCCGAGGGTGTGTGCATGCAAGCAGGGCTGCAGTGCGGTGGCCGTATGCGTCGGTGTAGATTAGAATCCCTTGCTGTCGTAATTTGCTCGGTTATGCCGTGTGTGGGTTTTAATTGTCTGTATAGTGCAATGTTAAATTTTGTACACGTGATTTTATTGTAATTTGAAACAAATGTGAGCACAGCCATTTAAATGAAAAAAAAATGTGATACCCGCAATGTTTGTGCAATATGTTGAGATGTACTTCGGACATTAAATTATTCATGTAAGCGTTGGAGTCAGCTGTCGTTTGTTCCCAAGTGTAATTCATCACCGAAGGGAGAACCAAGCAGCCTTTGAGTGTCACCGATTTGCTGTCGCAGGGTATTGGTTTATACTTTTTAATTATCAAAATGTGTAATATGTTAAATAATCATTTTTCAAATCAATCTTTTCATTTAATTTTGTAAAACTACTGAAAATGGTTCCTTTATTTATGAACATATACAGGATTAATATTATTAAATGAAAATTGTAATATTTTTGATGTCTTGTTTTTTTATTGTTGTATTATATATATAATCCATTAAACATACTTTGGATATGCGACCTTTCACTGCTGGTAGTTATCGGAACGAGCGCGTTGTGACAACGATGGGACAGTGTCTAGGCTACGTGATTCCCCCTCAGTCATGCCTGGCAGATTGCCAGAACTGTCCAATTTAGCAACATTGGTATTAGGAGGCTAACCCTCGCCTCCACAGTGCTGGATTACAGGCGTGTGGCATTGCCACCGGCACATCTTGAATTGGTGTCTGAACGCGAGCTGCCTGAACTAACACAAAACTTAACGACAGTGGTGGAGTACAAGCCTGAATTTAACCATGGTCAGGAATATAACTAATGTCCCTGCGTTCGTAGTGTAGTGCACAAACCACTGCACCACTGCTCTCCACGTTTACATGAGTACATGGTGTTTTTTGTTGTAATTATGCACTCAAGTGTATTCAATGTGCTTTTAGATGTGTTATCGTTTGACATAATTTACTGAGAACACGTGTCCAGGTCCATGCTTTGAAAATGGTCGAGAATCTTGAGCAGCGTACGAGTGGACTGCATGCACAGGTGCTCGGATGTAGGTTTGTTTGCGGGAATGTTTGTGTGTGCAGGCTATGCGAGCCTGCCAAGGTACAGAAGTGCAGTCCCCGGTTAGCGTCTGGCTGTTTCAACAACACCTCCCACCTCCGATTAGCACGGTTTGGCTATGTACTGTGCGACAAGTCAAATGTACATACACCTCTTTATTTCACACCATCACTCGGGAAATGTAAACATATTCTGAATATATTTACGTATTAAACTAACCATTTGATTATATTGGTCATGGCCTTGACCAGAAGGTGAGGGCAAAATGAGTGCAGATGAGCTGCTTGTGGAGGTTTTCCCAATTCTTCAATCGTTGAACTTTCGGTTGGAGTTTTTACCATACAAATACACGCGTATTTCAGGCATCATCTGGAGGTACAAAGACACGAAGTGCAATGTTACATGCAATGTTCTAAGGGTTATTTCTATTATAAATTTTGTCTCTAACAAAAATGTTATTGAATGAAACAACGACATCTTTATTGGGCAGTCACTTGTATTGAAATTTACGCTTAGCACAAAAAGAGACAGCTTTAAGAAGTCACTCGGGCATGTCATGCACAACGGTGGCTAGGAGATGTTAACTACTTCGCCTGGTATACAGGAGGTCGTGGGTTCGATCCAAACCCTGACACTTGTATGTTTGGAAAGTTTGCATGTCTCTCTCCCTGTGGTCGCGTGGATTTTCATCCGGGTCCTCCAGTTTTTCCCTCAACATTTAGAAACATGCATTTAGAGTATTTGTCTGGTATAATTTCCACATGAAAAGCCACTTCTTTGAGCTATAATTTGTGGCCAGGTCGCTTCTGAAAAATAGCTATATAGCTCAGTGGGGCTTATCAGGTAAAATAAATAAAATTCTGTTTTAATATAGTAGTTTAGACTCGATGGAGTTTGATGGATGGCAATCGCCCCATGGTGACGCAACTGACCTGGTGGGACAAGAACTCCAGCCGGCTGTCCAGGGTGTTGGACACCTTGATCTTTGCGTTGGCATTGTACAGCTCCACACCTCCACATCTGTATCAACCATTGTGAAACAATGCATGGATCGGAATTGCAGATCAACACCAGCAGATCATGAGGCATTCACAGCTGCGCCACTAGTGTGGTTATCCAGACACGCTACAGCACTCGGCCTGTGCTAAATCAACTGAGATGAACTACGTATTTCTATCGGTGGACTTTGCTCGGCAAGGTCGCGCGGGTGTTGGTGAGGACCAGGATGATGGGGACTGACATGTCAAGAGGCAGGAAGAGCTGCTCGTCCACCGTGATGCAGATCTCCTTCTTGGTGGCCGCGCGGTACGTGGGAATGTTCTTGGTCACGGAACTCTGGGAAAGGGTCCAGTCACATGCACTTTAGTATATGCATGTTAATTACAAACCTGATACATATAAGAATAGGGTTTACCCTTTCTCGCAATAAAACAAGTGTTAAGATGTTAAAACACCAAACTGAAACCTTTTGCAAGGAATCATGTCTGCATTAACCACATATACTTGTGGTGAACATACCAACAAAAAACATTCTCTGATAGTATATGCATTGTTTTTGAAACTGATTGGTCCACACTAAAGACAGCTTCCTTGAGAGCCTAGTCTCAACAGTGTTAGACCAGAGGACGCCAAAAGGCGAACAGCACAAAGACAATGCCACTATCAGAACATTGAGAGCTCGGGGTGAGCAGCTACAGTGAGGTAAAAAAGTATTTGATCCCCTGCTGATTTTGTACGTTTGCCCACTGAAAAAGAAATGATCAGTCTATAATTTTAATGGTAGGTTTATTTGAACAGTGAGAGACAGAATAACAACAAAAAAATCCAGAAAAACGCATGTCAAAAATGTTATACATTGATTTGCATTTTAATGAGGGAAATAAGTATTTGACCCCTCTGCAAAACATGACTTAGTACTTGGCAAAACCCTTGATGGCAATCACAGAGGTCAGACGTTTCTTGTAGTTGGCAACCAGGTTTGCACACATCTCAGGAGGGATTTTGTCCCACTCCTCTTTGCAAATCTTCTCCAAGTCATTAAGGTTTCGAGGCTGACGTTTGGCAACTCAAACCTTCAGCTCCCTCCACAGATTTTCTATGGGATTAAGGTCTGGAGACTGGCTAGGCCACTCCAGGACCGTAATGTGCTTCTTCTTGAGCCACTCCTTTATTGCCTTGGCCGTGTGTTTTGGGTCATTATAATGCTGGAATACCCATCCACGACCCATTTTCAATGCCCTGGCTGAGGGAAGGAGGTTCTCACCCAAAATTTGACGGTACATGGTCCCGTCCATCGTCCCTTTGATGCGGTGAAGTTGTCCTGTCCCCTTAGCAGAAAAACACCCCCAAAGCATAATGTTTCCACCTCAATGTTTGACGGTGGGGATGGTGTTCTTGGGGTCATAGGCAGCATTCCTCCTCCAAACACGGCGAGTTGAGTTGATGCCAAAGAGCTCCATTTTGGTCTCATCTGACCACAACACTTTCACCCAGTTGTCCTCTGAATCATTCAGATGTTCATTGGCAAACTTCAGACTGGCATGTATATGTGCTTTCTTGAGCAGGGGGATCTTGCGGGCACTGCAGGATTTCAGTCCTTCACGGCGTAGTGTGTTACCAACTGTTTTCTTGGTGACTAAGGTCCCAGCTGCCTTGAGATCATTAACAAGATCCTCCCGTGTAGTTCTGGGCTGATTCCTCACCGTTCTCATGATCATTGCAACTCCACGAGGTGAGATCTTGCATGAAGCCCCAGGCCGAGGGAGATTGACAGTTATTTTGTGTTTCTTCCATTTGCGAATAATAGCACCAACTGTTGTCACCTTCTCACCAAGCTGCTTGGCGATGGTCTTGTAGCGCATTCCAGCCTTGTGTAGGTCTACAATCTTGTCCCTGACATCCTTGGAGAGCTTTTTGGTCTTGGCCATGGTGGAGAGTTTGGAATCTGATTGATTGATTGCTTCTGTGAACAGGTGTCTTTTATACAGGTAACAAGCTGAGATTAGGAGCACTCCCTTTAAGAGTGTGCTCCTAATCTCAGCTCATTACCTGTATAAAAGACACCTGGGAGTTAGAAATCTTTCCGATTGAGAGGGGGTCAAATACTTATTTCCCTCATTAAAATGCAAATCTGGATTTTGTTGTTGTTATTCTGTCTCTCACTGTTCAAATAAACCTACCATTAAAATTATAGACTGATCATTTCTTTGTCAGTGGGCAAACGTACAAAATCAGCAGGGGATCAAATACTTTTTTTCGTCACTGTACATCATGGGATCTCGCTTGCCAGGATCAAAATATAAGAATAGATTTTACCCTTTTTGGCAATAAAACAGGTGTTAAGATTTAAAAACACCAAAATGAAACATTTTACAAGGAATCCTCTCTACAATAACCACATATACTTGTGGTGAACATGCAAATACTATCAGAACATGTTTTTTTGTTTGCATGTTCACCACAAGTATATGTGGTTAATGCAGACATGATTCCTTGCAAAAGGTTTCAGTTTGGTGTTTAAACATCTTAACACCTGTTTTATTGCCAGAAAGGGTAACATATATTCTTCTATTTTGATACTGGGAAGGCAGGTCTATGATAAACCTGATACAATCTAACATAACGCCAGCTGTTACCAAGAGTACGGAAACAGGCGTTGAATGCAAATGTCACGCACTTTTCACGAGAGGTATAATCTGCAACAATTGGTGATCAATGGTATAACAATGGTCTCATATTGCATGACGCATGGCTGATATGTCTAGGATATGCTTATTTATTTAAATGGAATAATATATGTCATCGGTGGATTAAAGTTATCATCTGGATAAACAAAACAAATGTTTCCCCGTGGAATTAGATTTTACAAGGCGGCCTCAGACCACTTAATTTGTGTTATTTCCTTTCAACAATCAAATCACTACTGTACATACAGTACTTGTTTTAAAGCCATAAAAAATTGTGTAGGTGTCACTAAATCGATAGAACCATCTTGTCGGGATATTTATTATATATTTTTTAAAATAAGAACCCGACCGTACAATCATTTGTCAGGTATACATGAAAACCTAATGCGCAGTGAACCAAGGTATCTGCTTTATCGGCTACAAGACCTATATGAAAAGATTGTATCCATCACCCCGCCACCATGGTGGCAGCGATCGTGTTTAGCGTATTTATAAGCAGGGAAGAAAGGGAGGGGGGAAGATATAATCCAACAAACTCGAAATATAAACTAAAACAAACGCAACAATCATTATGCGTTTCTAGGAATGTGGTTAAGTCTGAAGTCCCACCCCCACCCGGGGGACCCCCGTTTGTCCGGCTATTCATGCTGGGTTCAGCAGAAGCGGTGACCATTTAGCTTCATATTCCACTTGTTGGGATCATTCTGAAATGGGCTCTTCACTCCGTTACCCAACTCTGCGGGACCATCCTGCGCGGGCAGAATAAGCAGCCCCCGGGGGTTTCTCACCTTGACCAGGGCGAGGTCACTCTGTCGGCAGCGCACGATCACCACGGGCTCCAGCAGCTGCAGCAGCCCCTGGGTAGAGAACATCGCCAACAACGCCGCTTGCAACTCGGGCGCATCCCTGACTGCTTGTGAGGCCACCAGGTGAGCTGGTGCTTGTCCATGACAAAACACCCTCGTACCAGTTCAGCGATTCACTGACTGTAGACTGACACGAACGGCTGCACCACCGTGAGCTGACTATGTGAAGCCTCAAGAAAGCAGCCACCCACTTACTCAATAGCAGAGAACTGTGTGTGGGTGAGGAATGACTGGAAAAGTATCATATGATAATATTGCATAATCAAAATACAATTCACAATAATAATCATCATCTAATCTCTGTGCTGGGCGATGGTGTATCAAGTGGCCCGTTTCAGTTGTGCTTGTTATTTTTATGCAAGCATGTTACTTCCTTTGTGCCACTTCAGCCAAGTTCGCGGTAAACAATAGATGCATATACATACAATGTATGTTCTTATAAAAACGTGCAGTTTTACAAAATATCAGACTATATGACGTACAGTATATGTAATTACAGTATTGTGGAATCTAATTGACCATATGTATGCCGAAGCCTCATTCTCTCAATTAAAACATATTTACCTATCGTTTTCTAATAACACACCTGCACGTGTCTCCATCTATTAGACTGGGACTTTTGCAAAGTATGTTTGTTTTATTTTCTCTAAAGTGGTAACTAAATGACAGCTGTGATATGTCGTCGTTTCAGGTTGGCTAAGTTATTATGTATTGCGAATGTTTCCCAAAAGTCGAACCATGAGTATCGATTAAATACAAGCACCGATAAGCCATCATTCTGAACTACTAAACTATTCTTATGTTACTAGGTAAGGCCCACTGAGCTACATATCTCTTTTTCAGAAGCGCCCTGATCACAAATGCTCGCCCAATGTAGTGGCTTATGTGGACATTTATAGCAGCCAAATACTCTGAACGCATGTTCCTAAATATAGAGGGGAAAACTGGAGGACCCGAAAAGTTCACGCGGCCATGAACAGAGCATGCAAACTTCAAATATACAGGCATCAGGGTCGGGATCGAACCCACACATTCCTGTATACCAGGCAAAGTAGTTAAAATCTCACGACCCTTGTCTGTTGACTGCTTGTGGAATTCACTTAGAAATCGTTAACTTTTGTTTGTAGCGGGATGCACCACCTGCCTGAACTTGACTGCCCCAAGGCTCTGTTAGTCCATGAGACCAGGATCTGACATTTTACTTGTCGGTCCCACCTGAAGTAGCATAACCTGAGTGGTTCCAATTTACTTATGTGGACAATGACAGTGTATATGTGATACCAACTTGAAAATTGTGGAGATATCAATTAAATCACTCGAATTGGACATATCAATAAATCGGTACTATCAAAAATGCCTTAGGTAGTACCGATTTCTGCTCTGGCCTATGGACTATGTGCCCCAGTGCTGGGATGCTGTGTGGGTGTGCAGGCTTCAGGGATTGACCTGCAATACTAGGCCGTCCATGATCGTCCTGTACACCGTCGCGTTGCGGGTCAGCTGCACGAGCCTTCCCCTGGCCTCATTCAGTAATTCCTGAAAACGAGACCACTTAAATCAGCAACTGCGTTAATATGAGAGGTTGTACAGTCACATTTCTGCCTGAATACCATGTTTATGAGCCTTTATTTATGTGGCTCGCATTGAATTAATGAGTCGTAAACATTCATCTTTTGAAGCACACTACATTTCTTCTCTGACATGATTGTTCCTCAGACATAGCATTCACTACAATGTATGCGGTTTTTCTGTGCCAATATGAAGAAAAATACCTGGCAAAGTAAATTCAACTAACCAAGGATATGATGTATTTTTCCGTTCTGTGTAACTCCAGAACTCGCTCACTCGAGGCAGATACAACCGAAACCACGTCCTTCTTTCGGTGTTCCACTCTCATCGTGATCTCGCAAGGCCCTGCTCTTCCCTCCCATATATCAGAGACCCTATGGCCCCGAGAGCCCCTATCTCTTCCTTCCCACTCCGTGGGTTCCGATTACTTCTCTTCGCACGGTCCCTGGTCCCATGCCTGGTTTTAAACGTTTAAAATCGTGCCAAAAATACTGTGATGGTGTTTCATGTAAAAGATCACCTTTAGCAGATCATTCCTCGTCTCCAAAACCTTCAGCCGTGATTGGTTCATTAGGTTTGAAATTTGTCTGGGGATCAAAGACAGAGCGAAGTTGGCCTTTGGTGGTGCAGTGGTCACATGGATATGTCAGTGTGGGTACATGAGGGCATTACACAACACACTGAAGTGATGCAGTGTTGGGCAGTTCACTGCATGACAATTACAATTACCTGAATTCATTGTCTTTTATCAGGGGCAAGACCATGCAGGTTCATTGTCTTTTTCAAGGAAGACTAAGATACAATAACTCAGTACGATGCAACAATAGTTTCTTAACTTTAATTATAGCTTCATATTGTTTTTGACAGCGACACTACACATGTCCATGATAATGTGATATCTCTGACTATGAACAATAATCTACATCCATCACAGCGCTATGCCAATTCACTGTTGGATGAAGGCTTCCCCGTACAATGTCAGTGGGGTTTGGACAGAAAGAAGAGAGCTACAGTAGTCGAGTTGGGATGCGATTCAGGCACGGATGAGGTATGAATACGGGGTAAGGAAATTATAGATGCGTAAGACGATACACGGATCGTGATAAGTGGACACTGGGTTAGTATGTATATAATTGTCGAATGTACAGGGTACTCATGTTAGCCGCTTGTCACGTGGAATGGAATACATTTTCTTCTGCATCTCCAGTTGCTTATCCTTCTTGTCGTAGTGCTCCATTATCTTGCTTCGGTGGCTTTGCATGAGGCGGCCTTTCTCCAGGTTGAACTCTTCCTCCGCCTGCGCAGTGCCCACATCAGGGAACACGGCTCTCAGGCGCCTTCACGACGAACATCGTCTCTCGTTATATCTAGCGTATTGAGCACGAGCAGCTTTTGGAAGTGGGTAGGGTGGTGGTTCAAATACAGACGATCTCAAAGAGTGAAGCAAGAGATGATGTACATTACATTCCTCCGCTCATGTCCAATCATTAACCTCCTCGTTGTGCCTTTGATGATCTCATTGCTTGTTATGAAATTATGTTTGTGTTCTATAATTTATTTTCGAATTATTTTACGAATGAATGTATTTTCAGGGCTCTGTGTATTATTTATTTGGGTCAAATAATAACTATACATGGGAGAGTGCGTGAAAACTAAATCGCAGTGTAAAATGGATGGCACAAGAAAGAGCTGCAGCTGATTATTGTGGTATTAAAACATGCACGTGATTTTCCAAATGGAACAAGGAGTTCAAGAGGGGATTCGCCTGCTCACCTTGGAGTCAATTTCTTCCACCTTCTCCGTGGCCTCCTGCTCAATGAAGGCCACCATGTGCTTCACCTGCAGGAGCACGCATCACAGCTGCCACTCACATTGCGTGACTCTACACACGGGAAGGGCGGTCATCAAATCCCCGATATCTCATGCTTTCTCCACATTGCCACACTCCTTGTGTAACATACTTAGACTACAATCCTGTTACAGTAATGTGGCTTACGAGAGTGATTCTGGTCCTTGTGTTGGCTATTGTACTACCCCTTGTTGAATTGTGGTTCAACCGAGTATACCCCCTTGCCCGACCCAACATGATTCTGAGAAATAAATGTATGCATAATGAGTGTCAATATTTTAAGCAATTTCCCATTTTGTGAGGTATCCTAACTAGCTAGTAACTGCAAGGGAATAAAAAAGTCAGTGGACGCTTTGCATGCGTGACGTAATTTGTTTGTGCTCGCTGGTTACTCTTGGAAACCACATTGGTACGATCAATGAGTTTACAAAGGTATTTTATATCATTAAAGGCTACCATAAGGATTAACATTTTTATTATAGTTATTTTATATTGTCAGATTCATACGTGATTATTCAGCAATGACTATCATATATGATATAATTCACACATTTATCAATCACATCACTTGCCCCTTGGGACATTGCCACGTACCTTCAGGGGTCCGTGTCCCCCCGGCTGAGAACCACTGGCTTACAACTAGTGACGAAGTCACACATGCCCGAATAAAGTCGATATAGGATACACAGTTCATCAACAGTACTGTACATGCCCTTAGAATCGAGATTTACGCCTGATTGTCATTGCCTTGTGTTTTCGATTCATATCGACCCAAAGGCAAAGTGACCTGTTCGGTTCTGGCCGAGTGCGGTCCGACTGGAGGAGGCTGCGATTCTGACAGAATGCAGCCTCAGCCGGCACGGGACGCTCGACGCCTGCTCTGCCTCCATACCATCACTTAGGGTCTATCCGTGTTGGCGATTTTACAAAAAAACGGTCAGGTCCATTTAGAAGATTCCCATCAATTGTTCCAGTAAGTTAATTTCTGTGAGTGTAAAGATTCAAGGTTAGGATTCTATTCATGATTATTTTATACTGTCAAAATATGATACAGCGGCCTCTAGTACACAGCGAGGCCACATGAACCTACGTAATGTACATTAGATATGAACAGAAACACATTCATTCGTATACTTGATTCTACTTGATCCAGAAATTGAAGCATTGTGACATATATTACATTCCCCTGGTCTTGCCTGGCTGTTGATACAAATCTTACATGGAGAGTTTGGGCTTGCAGGTTTCGCGGCAAAATTATTTATTATTTATTTAGAGAGTGCATTTACTGACTTCATAATACTGTGAGCGGAATGAGTGCTGGCACAGTGGTGAGCGCAATGCGCCATGAACCCAGCTACCCGAATTCGGCTATGGCTGATATCAATGCAGAGAGATCTGAAACTGTGGCGGCCTCCATCACTTTAGGACCCCTTCACAAATCCGCACTTGACCAGCTTGGTGAGATATGGTCATACAAACGGGGGAGGGGGGGGGCGCGCTTCATCCAGCAGTGGATTAATAAAAAAATTGTACATTTTGAACTGCAACGTGAAAAACACGCAAACACTGCCATGCACAGAATTGTTTTTCTGAAAGCCCTTGAGGCTGTGACGATAGGGGTCGCTCGCCACTCGTTGTGAATCCATTTCTGGATGGTGCCGGTCCGGGCTGGATTGGCTGGACGGGCGATGGTTTTCAGCCAAGCCCAGTGTGCGGATCATTTCCCAGCTAAAGCAGCACCACCGCATTCCTGCGTTCACCAACCTCGTCACATTTAATTTGAGCCCAAAGTATCCCGCAGTCGTGATGTGCACGACTGTGCAATGGAAATGTGACCCTTAGACAGCACCAAACTTGTGTGGGCCATACAAAGCGGTTTGGTGCTGTCCCATTTATGTTTTCTAACAGCTAATATGAAGGGCAGCTTTGTTTCACAGCACACGTGGCCTCTGAAAAACAACGATGCATTGTATTGTCCTGTGCTACATAATCATTGATTTAAACAATAGAAATATAAAGATCTTCCGTATAGCCTCAATATATGTTTGGGGCAAGTGCTGTTAGCGAGCACCTATCAAGGCCGGCACTGGGCACAAGGGGTTGGGTGGCCAAAACCACGCTCGGCCGCCTTTGTCTCCCCAGTACAGATGTTTACACACCGCACCACGTAATCATTTGAGGCTGAGTCGACCTAGGGGATGGCCAGAACCGGTTCAGATAATCGTCACTGGTGTTGGTGGCCGTGAGCGGGAATCGAACCTGGGTCACCGCCTCACCGGGTAGTGCAGCGCGCTAACCGCTACACTCTCGCTCCCCGTCTCCTCTAACAACACACGCATGCACACACACACACACGCGTGGGTCACGTGGTTATAGGGTCCACAATGATCCAGCGCCTCCTGCTCGTGGACAGCGCTCATCTGAGCTGCCCTACAGCCACCTCTGCGACGAACCAGCCTCTGACCACTGGTTACTCAAGCGTTTATAATATATTATAAAACAGCATTTAGTAGTTTTATTTCAAAGGAACATTATCAGCTTACTTATACAGTATACATAATTGACCTTTCTTAAAACTAGTATACATGGTTTCAGAAACATGAGCGCTATGCTAATTATCGAAAGTTACGTGGCTTTCGATAATTAGCATAGCAGCACTAGACTAGCATTGATTCTGTCTACATTAAACAAAGCTGCCTACATGACAATTTCTCATTTTTGTCTTGGGAATCATTTTGAATCATTTGGAATGTTTTAAAGCACATTCAGTATAATGACAATCTAATTATATACCATAACCTTTGGTAATCAGTAAATACTAAATACTAACATTCAAACGAATGGCTTCACATTAATGACATTCGCCAACAATATTGATTTGTATACAACAGTATATCTCTATTACGGTATGAGAATATTTGGATTTTTCATAAAAGCTGCACTGAATGTGCGGCACTGCAGTAGACTTCATTGGGAGTTCGATATACTTTCGATATTCGCGAGCACATCACTTAGACATCTCAAACCATCTGCTGTGTGCAGCGTTAGAACACTTTCAGAAGGGCGCTCAGTGGCAGCGCTGAGCAACAAGCGAACTGAGCAAATCGTGCAAATGTTGTCAAGATGTGTGCGCCTCATTTTCAGGTGTGTTGAGTTTGTGCGTACTGGTGTACAAGCATGTATTTTGAACTTATTTCGCACACCGTAAGTAACCAACTCTGTTAATGTGCACACAAGGGTGGATGTCTCCAAGCGTGCCTCGGTTGCCTTGTTTAACAAGTGGATGTGTTCATTTGTGTGCAAGCATGAATACATTTGTACTCACTCATGGGCTATACACGTGTAGGGAAATAAAGCATGGCTCGGCTGGGCAATAGGCAAGAAACGTAGTGTTTCAAAATAATGTCTGTGAATATAATTGCACGCATTCACTGGTCACGATAGTCCTGCAAGTATAATCTCATGAGGATTATGACATTTGTTACACCAACGGCACTTCCGAATTTCTGGATTATCGCCATTATCTCAGTGCTCACAGGACCCAGTAACCCGCACGCGTCTGCTACGCACTGCCTCACGCTGACGCCGGTAGAAAAAGTAGGAGCTGGACGAAGCAGTAGTTCCCGAGAGCTGCAATACAGCACCTTAAAGATGTTCCCATGTTTAGCTCAGCGATGTTTAGTATTTGGCTAAACATTAGGACTACCACTAGCGATGTTTGGTATTTGGCTAAACCTTAGGACTACCGCTGCAAAGACGTGTGGCCATCGTGAAAGAGTTGGCCAAAATACCATCTAATATTGGGATTCCTTGGAACTCCCTCGAGTGGAGATCCTTTAGCCAGCAGTGTCGGGAACAAACAATTGTAGGGCTGCACCTTCCCTTCCTATCTTAGAGCTGATGACATCGTCGTCTACATGAATAGACTACATCCTAGTTGATTTGTGTGTTATATTATATCTCAGACATTCTTTGATGTGCAGTTAATGTTCCAAATAAAGGGAAGGTTGTAATGGCTGCTGTCCGTTGTGCTTTTAACACTGTTAGCCAATTTATTCATATTACGAGCTGCTTAAAGCTCAACATTTGAATTCCAACAAATATATATTTTGTAGTCTGTCAGTGGACCTATATTCAAGCATACATATGTTATATAGACATACGCAAAGTTCACATGAAAGCGAAAAGACTACCCTGAAATTAACACATTTGAACTCTAAATTATACATACTGTGGGAATCGGACTTGAGAAGTTTGGGTGAGTCATGGGGATAAAACAAAAAATTCAAATCCGAGTAATGAGATTTTCGCTTTATACATTAGAATTCTGTTTTGGTGTTTCAGCACCATCTGTGGCAGTACACTTGAAAATTATGTAATACGCTTGTATTACACGGTCTATTAGTAAGATAATCTCAAAACGCCCACATTTTATTGGCCACATTTACTACTTTTTTACATCAGCAGCGAGCGTTAAAAATCATCCTTCCCATGATGAGCTGACATTCCCGTAAACCAGCCAATCAATATTTTGCCTGCCTATGCATCACTCAGCATCCCCAAGTAAAACACAACGCGAAGCTGCATTACCTGCTTGAGGACATCTCCATCTGTCAGCGGCATCCTGTACTCCCGGTAATTCACTCGGTACCAGCGTCTTCACGCCAAGAGTCAGACGAGTGAGATGCGTGCCGTCCACGCTGCACGCATTTATCCTCCGCCGTGGCTTGGCGCGCATGCCTCGAACCGCCGCGCTGCGGTCCAGACGGGACCTCGTACAGCACTCTCTGGTTCCACCCTGGCGAGAACTTGGTTGCACAGACACCTTCATAGTTGTGCAACATCTATGTCTTCCCTCCTTCTGTGACCCTCCCCTCTCTCGAAATCCAGCTGTGCCCCGTTTTATTTCTTTTTGTATCCGGCTCTGCTGGCAAAACGTCATTCTCTGGGGCGTGCACAGCTCAAGAGCGATGCACCTGTACACGTGATACTCGTTAGACAACTCTCACATGATGATTAATACGTATTTCTGGCAATACTAATATATTAGGCCAACCAATACGAATGTATACATTCTATATTCTTTTCCGATGAGAAAAAAATGTGTTTTCGGATTTTGCGAGTCTGAGGGTAGGGTTTGGCGCGATCATTTATATGAGGTGAAAATGGGATGACCCCTAAAGGCTCAAAACCCAGACCTCCTCTAAAAGGGATCCAGCAAATAAAATCAGAATCAAAATTTGTATTTATACTGGAGGAATCCGATGCGCTATGAAGCTATTTTACACAGATGTCTAATCAGGGCAGGTAAAAACGTGACAACAACAAACAATACAAAAGCACGATAGGAGTGCAAAGTACAAGACAGGTATAAACAAATCACCCAAACACAACCAAACTAAACTAAACCATCCCTACCAGACAAAGCCCACTGAGGTATTACATTATTTTTCATTGCAGCAAATTCATCTAACTCGTCTAAATGCATGTTTTTAAATGTAGAGGGAAAAACTGGAGGACCTGGGATAGTGCCTGCACTATCCCAGCGCTCACCAAGGCCCGCTAGGGCTGGCACTACACCCACCACGGGGTGTCCGCGATGACGATGCATCGCACACCTCGGCCCTTCCGGGCCGGCACCATACAGTGACATCCCCGTTAATAAAAACACAAGCTCAGCAGCTTTTGTCTTTTACTGTGGCTTTATCAAACAGATTTAATGTGTAACAGTCAATGCAATGTGAAAACAAGTAACAGGAGTTAAAAATAATAACACAAGGGAATTTACAAGGAGTTCCAGAGATTACAGGACAATGAGAGAATACAATTCACATGAAAAAGATAAACTCTATAACGGTAGTAGAAAGTCCTTGGTCAGATTATGACAAGATCAACATAGTCCTAGTAGCTGAAAATGCACGTCCATGTTCCAAAACTTAGTCAAAGAACAGGGGGTGTGCTTCCTAAGCTCACAAGTCTCGGATGAAGGCCTAATTAGGGCTGCTGAGGTTGCAGACTCGCCGGTCTCGGCACAAGCCGAGCAAGGAGCAGAGATCACAAGCTCGCAGGTCACAGACAATGGCTGAGCAGGGCTGCACAGCTCTCAAACTCTCAATTCGATTATTTAACAGTGGTTGTGGGGGCCGCTGGCCCCCGGGGTCCCTCCCGCCTTCATCCCCTATTCCGTTTAGGTTACCCCACCTCCCTATTACCCGCTACGGTTTCGCCGGCATTCGAACGCGACGCCCCTACTGTTACAGTCTCGCGCCGCGCTCCCACGCTGCGAGCATACACGCGCACAGCATCATCAATCAAACGCCACACTCCCCCTCTTTACACCGCTACGTACAGCTCTCGTATACTGCGAGCGTGTGCCCGCCTATAGCCCTGTGCTGCACGTTACCAATGCGCATCCGTATCCGACACGTAACGAACGTATGAGCACTCCCACACACACGCCGCTCCGCGCACTCCAACTCCACTCACGTTATGATCGCGCACCTGTATCGCACCCGGGGTGGACGCACGCACACACACGCAGCTCCCCACGCGACACTCTCTTGCGCCGCTCTGCGCAGCGCTCGCCGTCTGCTGGCCGCTTACGTTATGATCGCGCACCTGGGGTACGCCTATTACGCACGCCGCGAGCTTACGCACACACAGTACCACATGCGTTCCCACACGCTCACACTGCACGACAAGATCACGCGAGACCACGCTTCGCTATTAATGATTTATTACCTGGTAACTAATGTTCAATCAGTGAGTCGACGAGGCTGGCCTATTCCACTAAACCGGCACCTATTCCCTATTTATCGGCTATGATTCTAATTCACCTTCTTACTCACTGTTAAGTGTCCACGGCGGTCCGCTGATCCCGGTGTTAACCGCGTGCCTCGGTGCGTCGCACGGACGTCCGGGTCGCTGGCTCGAGCTGCGTCTGGTCGCCTGGCGCTGGAGTAAGAGAGCGATTTCCCCTCTGCGCTCCTCTATTTATCCTCCCTACCTCCAAAGGGGATGCTGCGCTGAACAATGGGCTCGTGCACCCCAAGCCCGCGCACGGCAGTCCCCAGGCGCTGTTGATATGCTAATCAGTGAGCGACGTTGGCGGCGTACATCCTAATTACTCCCTTACCCTTCCTAACAATGGGGCCTGCGCGCTCAAGCGCAATTATCCCAACCCCCCATGACTATGCGCAACAGCCCCTGTGACCCCGCTATTCATGCTGTCTCGTGCCTCCCCTGCTTGCCCCGTCGACTCGTGGGGGTGTGTGTGGGGGGAAATGCGCCTCAACCGCGGTGGCCGAATGCCCCACGCCGCGACCACACCATATTAAGGCCGGCAGCAGCGCCGCGGTACCACGTAGCACGGGGGAGGTCATCCAATTCCCTGATCGCCGGAAACCGCGAGAATTACTCCCGATAAGGGTCTCTCGGATAAAAACCGGTCGATCAGGTAACCTTCCCTTCCAGCTCTATGGGGGGGGGGGGGATGCGTGCGGGTGTGTGCTTATGTGGGGCGGGTGATGGGGGGCAGTGCGGTGGGGGAAGCCGGGCGGCTCCCTGGCTCGGCAGAGCGGCCCCGTCGCTGTGGCACCACATAGCCCCCCGGGGTGCCAGTCCCCGTCCCGGGTTGACTTGAGCACCTCGCCTGGGTTGCCCCCACGAGGTATCGCCGCGGGGTCCGCGGGATTCGCCCGGCCCTTGTGGCTGGCCTCGGGGGTGGCGGCTCCGTCTCCTGGGGCTCCGGCGGTGGTCTCCTCCTCCATTCCAACGGCTCCCCTCGGCCTCTGGCACCTGCGGGCTGGGGAACAAACTCAGAAGCGGTGGGGTTTAAGGGTCGCCGTCCTCGTCGCCCCCGGCCCCGTCCGGGGCCCCTCGGAGCCCTGGGCTCCGTGGGGCCCATATACTGCGCGAGGCCCCCGGGCATGGGGGATGCGGGTACTCCGGGATTTTGGGGCCTTCGGGTGACGGGGTTCTCTCTCGCCGGGGCCGCTTTCCACGGTTTTAAGCGGCGGACATTGACCACCGTCTCTCGACCCCTCTCCCCGCCATCAATTAGTACCGTCCAGGGGGAGATCTGTCGCACCACGGTCCAGGGTCCCCGCCAGTAGGTCGTCAGTTTCCCCACCTGCCCGGCCCCGACGCGAGGGGTGTGTAGCCACACCTTAGCACCTGTCAGGAATAAGGGGGGTTCCATGCGGGGTCGGGTGCCCTGTTCCTGCCGCCGATGCGCGGCTTCCCCTTGCGGGTATGCTCGGCCTCGGGCTTCTCGTAGGGTCTCCAACAGGTGTTCCACGGGGCGGCTTCCCTCCTCCGGCTGGGGGGAAGGGACGCCGAATAGCAGATCTGCGGGTAAACGAGACTCACGGCCGAACATCATTAAAAACGGGGTTTGTCCCGTCGACGTGTGTACGGTGGTGGCGTAGGCGAAAAGGGCGTAGGGGAGGTGTTCATCCCAATCCCGTTGATTTGCGGCCGCCATACGTTTGAGTTTCCCCGATAAGGTCTGATTCATGCGCTCCACCATCCCGTTCGCCTGGGGGTGGTACGCTGTGGTTCGGTCCTTCTGGATTCCGAACTCTCGGCACAGTGCCTGGAACAACTCGGCCTCGAACTCGCTACCCTGGTCGGTGAGGACTCGTTCTGGGATCCCGTGCTTAAGTACGTAGTGTTCCACAAATGCCCGGGCCACCACCAAGGCCGTTTTATCAGGGATGGCCACTGCCACGGGGTAGCGGGTGAAATACTCTACTGCGACTAGGATATATCGGTTGCCTCGATGGGATCGCGGGAATGGCCCCTGTAGGTCGATCCCGACCAGCTGATTCGTGCGGCTGACGCGGAACGGCCTTAGGGGTACCTGGTATCGTGCCGGTTTCGGCCCGCACTGCTGACAGGCGCGGCAGCCCTGTACCCAGGCCGCCACGTCTTGTGCCAATTTGGGCCAGAGATACTGGCGACGCAGGGTCTCTCGAGTACGTCGTTCCCCATCGTGGCCCCCGAGTGGGTGGTCATGCACCAGCCGTAGCAGCTGGGGTCGCACCTGGGCAGGAACACAGATGCACCCCGGCTGGCCGGCCTCGGTTAACTCCCGTACCACTCCGTTCCGCACACACAACCGGGCATACAAACCGCTCCAGGGTCCTGGTAGGGCGCTCTTTTCCTCCCGCAGTGCCGCCTCCACTGCCGCCAGATCCGGATCTCGCTGCTGGGTCTGTCTCAGCTGCTCGTCGTTTAGGCCCGGGAAGGCGCAGCCGACGTCCTCCTGGATCCGTCCAATCGGGTCCCGAGCCGCGGGTCCCGCGCTTGCCGGGCGGTCGACGGGATCCTCAGTGTCACCTGTGAGGGTTTCCGTGGCGCACACAGCACTCTCTCTCGCTGGGGGGGGGTCAGTGGCCGCGGCCTCTCGGGGGTCCGTTGCCTGCCGGCAGCGTCCCCCCGTGAAACACGGGCAGGCCTCCTCCGCCCTCGTCTCGGCGTACACCGTGGGTCGCCTCGACAAGGCGTCCGCGTTTGCATGCGTCCGGCCAGCCCGATACTCGATTTGCAGGTTGTACTCCTGCAACTGCGCCAACCACCGGGCCATCTGCCCCCGCGGCTCCTTGAATGTAAGAAGAAACTGCAGAGCATAATGGTCAGTGCGTACGCGACATCTCCTGCCAGTACAAATACGGCCGGAACTGTTTGCATGCGAAAATCACGGCGTACAACTCTTGGCGGGTCACGCAATAGTTCAGCTCGGCCCTACT